AGATGCTAAACATGAAAGATTCACAGTACATGTTTGGAGAATGACTTAACCAGATTCAGTCATTTAACTTATAATTAATGTTACAGTCTGTGGGAGGATGCTGCAGACCAAGAATAACCAGGCCAGTCCCCTGATAGCTTAGTGCAGAGATTATAATGAAATGGAACGTGCTTCCAACAGTTAACAAAAGGAGAATTTCTTAGCTATCGTAGGGGAGTTATAGTTCACAAAGACATTGAGCGAGAACAAAGCCTTGGTTCATCTGTGTATGGCCAGGATGGTCTGCTGCATCAGGAAGGAGCTAGCCCGGCCCATATAGTGGGAGATGGGTAGACATTCCTGCTGCCACAAACTTCAGAAAAATCTTTTCAGAGACTTTCCCCCACTGAAGTGGCTTTAGGGCTGTTATTGGACAACCCCAACCCTGGAGATTTGAAAAACCTTGTAGAAGTAGCTCTGAAAGAAGAAAATTAAACTGGAAAAATAGTAAAACCAAAATACAAGCAGCAATGTAATGGCCCCTGAGAGAGTGGCTGAATTAGAGAGAAAAAAAGACCAGAAATCCCAGGCTGCACTGTCCCATTTTTGAAAGATCAGGTCTCACATCTGAACAATGTGGCCTAGGTGGTGGGGGATGCCAAATCTATGAGGATGACAGTGGTTCCTCGGTTGTAAAAGAATGACCAGAAGGAGCTTCTGAGACATCGTGGTTACAATGAAGAAGACGTCTCCTGTCTACACAGGGTTGGTTGTAAAAATGGGCCTCTGAGGGAGGGGTTCTGAACCTTTTGTGTATTGTGGACCACTTTGATTATCTGATGAAGCCTATGGATTCTTTTCAGAATAATGTTTTAAATGCATAAAATAAATAGGATTACAAAGGACACCAGTTAATTGAAATAGTTGTTTTTTGGTTTTTGGTTTGTTTTTTGTTGTTGTTTTTTTAATTTTTAAGTTCATAAATACCAGGTTAAGAACCTTACCCTGCTCTCAGCCCTCCCTGGAATCGAAGTCCAGTGACCACTGGGTAGTATATTGATAGTGTGGAGGGGCCCTGTCAGGTTAAAATGACTACACTAGACTTGCCCTAGTACCCTCTCTGCTGCTAATGGGACCTGCTTCCACATGGGCTAGAAGCGAACAAACATTCATTAAGCACCTACTATGAGCCAGGCACAGTGCTAAGTGCTTTACGGATATCCTCTTTGACCCTCACAGCAACACTGTGAAGTCAGTGCCGTTATGCCTGCTTCACAAGAACCTGAGGCAGAGTTGAAGTGACTCACCCAGGGTCCCAGAGCTATTAACTGTGATGCTAGATTTGAACTCTGTCTCCCTAACTCCAGACCCAGCACTCCATCAGCTGTCTAGCTGGATAAACAGTTTCACCTTTGCCTGCTACCAGAAAGCAAACTGTCTCCCAACAGCCATTTTTTTGTTTTCCGAGCCCTCCCTATACTGGCAGGAGTATAGAAGGACTTTCTGGATTACATTAAGCAAAGGGATACACTGGGCCAGCCTCTGTTGCTGCCCGTACCTCTGGGAGCTGTGCCCCTGGGGCCTGTAGTGCCATCTTTTGTGATTGGGACCAAGCACTGCCTTCCTTTGCCAGACCTGGCAATCTCCCATCGGTGTTGGGACTTCAATACTCCTATTAACCACCACCCCCCGTTATCCTGGGAAGGAAAGAAAGTATCTGTTATGTGCCAGATGCTATGCTGAGTGCTTCACAAAATACCTCACTTGATCCTCTGGGAGTTAGGCACCATTAATCCCATTTTACAGTTGAGAAAACACACGGGCATTGCTACTACCCCTAGATCCCTAGGTACTCTAACGTCTGGGACTTGAGTTCCACCTCTTTTTACCCAGTGACACAGACTGGTGACACAAACTAGAGTGTCACTACCCCAGCTGATCCACCGTATTAATGAAGTTAGCCATGCTCCTAATGGCATAGGTGACTCAAAAAGGTTTGACCTGCCAGGCCAGAGCTTGGATTTCTGTTCCTGTTGGTGGTCGTCATTGCCAATGCAAAAAATGGGTCCTGCTGACTGCTTCCATTGAGGGACCCACATTTTAAAATTCTGGGGCTGTTGCTAAGACTAGGGATGCCCAGGTCCTTTTATGCACAGAGAGATGCCAAGCAAAAGCAGACATTGAGCTAAAGACCCCTCGAGGCGAGTACATGGCCTCTATTTGCCATGTGTAAACGGTTGCATTTTCTGCCAGAGGCTGAGAGAAAGGCAGTTGGTGCCTGAGCTCCAGAGAGACCCTGGCCCTTCCCTGGAAGTGAGTGAGACATGACCATTAGAAACCATGAAAAGTCATCTGTATCTTTAAACTGAAACCTGCCAAAGCATCTTTTTTGTCTCTCATTGGAAAGATCTAGGGCTCAAGATGGATATCTAGCATTAGCAGTTCAAGTGCCTCCCTAGTGCCTTGAGTTCCAATAAAATCCATGTGTGAGAACTTCCAGTGGCCTCCCCAATGCCACATGAAAAGTCCCCAAGTATTTCCTTCAGCAGTTTTTTCAAAACCATATTACCCCATTCACACAAATCTCACAGTATTTGTAATCTTACTCAGTATTTGTCCAAATAAAAAATACATTCCTTTTAAGATAACATCGTACAGGGTATCAGTTATATTACAGATAAATCACCTAATGTTTGGAGAAGTGTCAGCTTTTGTCTTTGTCTGATTGGAGGAAGACACTTTCCATCCCCCAAATAATTCCTTCTTTACTGTTTGAGAGAGAGAGAGAGAGAGAGAGAAAACAATCAGCAAAACTGATCAGTACATCCAAAGAATCTGAAAATATATGCAGCGTTCCTCACCTCTGCAGATGAATAGGGGTTATGTCTTCTCAAATCACTTCTTTGAGGCTATACTTCTTTTCTTTTTGCAACATTCACTTTGTTTTGTATTTGGTTTTGATTTTTTTTTTTTGGCTAGGCACTGGGGTTAAGTGACTTGCCCAGGGTCACACAGCTAATAAGTGTTATGTGTCTGAGGCCCGATTTGAACTCAGGTCGTCCTGAATCCAGGGCCGGTGCTCTATCCACTGCGCCATCTAACTGCCCCTTTGTTTTGTATTTGTTATTCTTTCCATTTACACTATTATAGTTGTATGAGTTGTTTTCTTGGGTCCACTTAACTTCACTCTTTATCAGTTCATCTTTCCATGCTTCTCAGGATTCCGCATACCTTGTGTATTAGCACAGTAAAAATTGTTTTGCCATTCTTCAGTCCATGGACATCTGCTTTGTTTGCATCTCTGTCAGGGAGTGGGCTGGGGTGTCTTCCTATAACTTTTCTTTGAGGCCATACTTGTACTTGGTCATTTTGCAGCATTTACTTGATTGTTTTGTGGTTTTTTTCCCTTTACGTTGTTGAAGTCATGTATGTATTTCAGCTGTTTACTTCACTCTTCATCGGTTCATGTATGTCTTAACACGCTTCTCTATAGTCATATTTGTCATTTGTTATAAATTGGTCATACTCCATTGATCTTTTACAACGGGCCTAGCCATTCCTCAGTCGGTGAGCCTCTTCTTTACTTCTAGTTCTTTGCTACCCCAAAATGTGCTGTGATAGATATTATGGTGTACGTGGGGACTGTCTATTAAATGTATAAATAGATTTTGTGATTGACTCCTTTTTTGTATTAATTTCTTATTGCTACATCTCTTTGGGGTATCTGCTTAGTGAAATCTGGGTGTGGACATTTTGATCACTTTATTTGCATTCTTCCAAATTTCTTTCCAAGATGGTGGTGCCAATTTTCAGCCCTGTCAGCAGTGCCCTAGTGTGCCTGTCTTCCCACAGTCTCTCCCCAGCATTGATAAACAAAAGGAAAAGAGCTAGTTCAGACTGCAAGGCAGGAGGTTATGGTAGCCATGCTTTCTACCGCATTAGAGCATAAAGCAGTTTGTAGATCTGCTGTTTAGGCTTTTTACATTTCATCTTTGTACTGTCCAAACAATTTCTGGTACGTGTCTGCTGTTAAAACTGCCAGGCTTGGGCCAGTCCTTTTGTTGGTGGCTATCCTTTCCAGTGCAAAAGCTTCTCTGCCACCAGTTAGCTTCACTGATTGGACCCAGGAATTGTGGACCTCTTGAATTCACAAGTTTTCCTCTGTGCCTCAATCCATGCATTCCAGCCTCAATACTCCTTGATCAAAGAGCAGGAAAAAATAAACACAAAAAATAGGCTGCCAGGGACCCCCAAACATAAGCACTCCTAATTGAGTCTCCCTTCACTGCCACGTGGATAAAATTGCCCTGATATTGGACTGAGGTGGAGAGAGGTCAGTCCTTCCCCACCAAGGACTGGAAATCCAGAGGTGTGTGTTACCATCTGAGAGGTGGAACGAAGGGAGCCAACTGGAAGGTCTGTATTAGGCTGGATGGGATGGGTAGGGGAAAGGAAGAGAGATTCGGAAATGAATGTGACATAAAGGTATCAATGTGAGTGTCTACTATGTGCATGGGAGAACAAAGATTTACAGGACAAGGGCTCCTCTACTTCTGAGCAATTAGAGACTCATACGTAAAATCCTAGATTGAGAACTGAAAGGAATGACGGGAAGGATGACTGAGAAGTCATCAAGTTCAGTCGCTCATTTTACAGATGAGGAAACTGAGACTACAGGGGGCTCATGACTTGTCCAAGTCCACATAGATAATAAGAAGGTAAGTGGCAGAAGTTTTGATTTGAACCTAGGTCAGTAACTGGAATTCATGTAAATGCTTTATACTCCTTCATATGTTTCCATGCATTTTTTTATTTTAAAAAATCTACGATTTAAATGCCAAATAACAGTATAGATAAATGTAATTCAAAGGATGTGGAGATATTTCTGTAGACTGGAGTAATTGGGTAAAGCTTTACAGAGGATAAGCATTTGAGCTAGGCATTACAGCACTGTTGTAGCCAGTGATAGGTATCACTTAATTATAAATTTTGATTTTCAAATTTTATTTGCTTTATAATAGAGAATTTCCTGCACAGGACCATGGATCACTGACATCAGAAATCTGCTCCAGTGCATCATTAATAGCTGGTAATAACTTAAATTTTCAAAATTTTCAAAATTATAATGTAATACTGAAAAAGGAATTTTTGAATCATTTTCAGGCTTGGTCAAAAATTAGTTCATTTAACTTGGACAAATTTGTTTTAGAACCTGTTGAGTAGTTGTGATCTGAAAAGGGCTTTTTCAAAGTTTAATCTTCAAGAAAACTTTCTAGATGTTCATTAAATTATTTTTGTGATTTTTTTTTAAAGTCTTAAAATATCTTAACAGCTTTATTTTAAAATCTGACATTGTCTTTGAAAGACATGGTTTAGGGGGCAGCTAGGTGGCAAATGGATGGAGCTCTGGCCTAGGACACTTGACCCTTACTAGCTGTGTTACCCTGGGCAGATCACTTAACCCCATCACCTAGCTCCCCCCAAAAAGACGCAGTTGATTATACTTTCTTGGCTACCATATTTAAAAATATTTTGAAAACTGCTTGACCTTACTAAGGTCATATGATCCATTGTTACTGATATACTGTTAAAGTAAGTTATGAATTATGTCACTTCACTTGCATGTCTGTGCTATCATGCAGATACTCTCCCAGATGCTGCTGACTAAAATCCATTTGTACTTGCCCATCCTTTGTGACTTTTGACCTTGTTATCCCATAACTTTCGTAGGGATTTACCTGGTGTCCTTGGGAAGAGCCTTCTTCTAGTTCCCTTGACATTGCAGAGAGATCAGTGGAATACATTGGTCAGCCCTCATTTTGGGATTAGCCTTTTTTTTTTCATATTTATCTTTTTACTGATATCCTTTATACCATTCATCTTGCCCAATTCTTGTTTATAATGTATTGCAAGTTCTTCACACTTATCATGGGTCTTTCCATTGCCCTTTAGGTAGCTCTCAAATTTAATTCTTTGTATATATTGTATCCCATGACTTATAGTCACATAGCATCCTTGACTATTGTTATTTTTTAAATGAGCCTTTGTTTTAGGGAGAAACTTGGAGTCATTAAAAGCACCAGACAGCTCTCCAGAGACTGTCCAACCCCTTCTACCTTGTGCTCAATTCTAAACCTATCACATTGTCCATTTCCTGTGTTTGTCTGAGATACATGTGTACTGACAGTGCACTATGGAGTTGTCACTCTAGCTTCTCATAATGGTATATACAGTAAGCATTCTTCATCCGCTTGCTATTTCTTGTATGGATAGTTAGGCCCAAGTCTTGAGCATTTACAGATCTTATCTAAAAGGCCTCTGTAGTGTTCTAGGCCTTGGAAGCAATCAGCACAATGATATCCTCAAAAAGGACTTATCCAGAGGGCTTCCTCCTCAGACTCTCCACCAGACTTCCTCTCAGCGGTGAACAATGAGTCTCCCTGTTTTATTCCTCTCTTGATATCACCAGATGGAAGGTTGTTTAAAAAAATAAGTTTAATGTACCTTGCAAGGCGTCTTGTGATTTTGACATGGCCTTGGGAGACTCTTTGTGAGCCTTTAAGGCTACATTTTGCTTTGCTTGATCAAATGCATTTTTTGGATTTGGGAGTGGGGTCCAAAGCTATGACTTTCTTGGTGTAGGGAGCACCCTGCAATGAGGGCACTTTCTCTACAGTGCAGTTTAGCACCTTCTCAGCATCTGACTAGCTGTAAACGTTGCCCGAGGCACTGAGAGGCTAAGAGCGTAGCCAGAATTACTTAGCCAGTTACCTTTCAAGGTGGTATATAAACGATATCCTCTTAACGATCTTTTTTTAAATAGTCAAAAACCCAGTAGCCCAGTTGAATCCTGTATTTCTTCTCTCCCTCTCCCTTTCCTTAAGTTTTATTGCAATTAACAAGCACTTATTTTCTCCACCTTCCACCTGCTGCCCTTACTGTAAAAAACAAAACCCTCATAAGGAGATAACACATCGTCAAGCAAACACATTTTGACACGGCCACTGTCAGAATTTGCCTTATTCTGAATCTGGAGTCCATTACCTCTCTGTCAGGAGGTACGTGACAGTCTCCAGTCTTGGTGCGCTGCAGGCTTCGTTGGTCATTGCACCGATTGGAATTCTTGAGACTTCCAGAGTTCTTTGTCTTTATGTTGTTGTTGTATAAATTGTTCCCCTAGTTCTGCTCCCTTCACCTTGTGTGGGTTCGGACAAGTCTTTTCCGTGAAGCCATACTTTTCATCATTTCTGTTAGCACAGTGGGATTCCATGAGATTCCATTCGGTACCTCCTTAGTTTCCAGGTCTTTGCCACTTCAAAAAACTATTGTAAATATTTTTGGATATATAGATCCTTTCCCTCTTTCTAGCTGTTTGCTTGGATTTCTTCCTCTGAAAAGTGCCTGTTCATTTCCTGTATCCATCGGTGAGTGATTTAATTCTTCAGATTCCTATGCAGCTCTCTAAATGTGTAATTTACCAAAAAAGTTACTGATCTGCATTGGAGGAAGTTTCCATACCAGGAGTTCCTTACAGTGATGAAATCATAGGTCCAGAGCAAGAAGAAACTACGTGGTTTTTTATCTTCTTGCCAGGCAGTTGGACAGAAAAGAAAATGAAATGTTTGCTGGCTGGTGTTTCTAGTCCTTTTTGGTCTCCTTGTTATGGTAGTTGATTTATGCATATTAAACTTCTTTAGAAGATGATGATAGCTTTTCTGTAATCTGTTTTTATCTATTTCCTTTTCTTTTCCCAATTGATAGTCTGTTTAAATAGGTCATATTGGATTTTCCTCAGATGCACATTCATATCTCCTTTTTAATTTTGTGTTGAGTTTTGCTCTGACAAATCTTTGGTTGGCTGGATAGAGACAAGTATTTGCCTCATCAGTATCCAGTTTTTTCCTGTGTGTGAAAATGTAGTTAACTTAATTTTTTGTAGTTTTATGTTGTTTTCTAGTTTGTTACCTTTCTGATTCTTTTATCAAAGAAAATCCATACTATATATATGGATATACTGTATAGCCATACCGTATAAGCATGAAGTGTTTTTGTAGTGTCTCCAAGCTTTTGACCTCTTTTAGTTTAGAACAGTTATATTACACTATTGATTAATTATGAAGACCTCTACCTGGGCTATTTGTCTAGAGGAAATCAATTATAATTCATATTTAAATTATTAATCCATTAAGTCTTAATCATTGAGTTCTTGGTTCATTTGAATAACATTCTTTGTGCCTTTAAGTAACTGGGTCTCTATACTATTGAAGCTTTTACAGTTGAATATTTCATCTTTCCAGCAAATGAAATTAAGCATGATTCTCTAGTTCTGAGTAATTCTTTGGGAAGAATCACTAACGAGCCCTCTGAGGACGAAAAACCAGCTGAGTTAGAGGAGCATAAAAAAGGGCTGGACATGGATGAGAAGGTATTTGGGGAAAGTTTGGCCTTTCTTCTCTCTCCTTAGTCAAAATGCTACATTAGAAACCTGTCAGCAGGGATAATACCCACGTCTAGGTCTGGGGAGATCTTGGTTCTACTTAAAAATACCAGCTTGTCAGTTGCTTTGTGTTTGGTGGTACAGTAAACTGAGCTCTGGGCCTGGAGTCGGGAAGACCTAAGTTTAAATCCACCCTCAGACGCTGATCTGTGTGACCGTAGGCAAGTCAAGTCACTTTGTTTGCCCCAGTTTCCTCAATTGTAAAATGAGGGTAATGGTAGCACCTACCACCCAGGGTGATTGTGAGGATCAGATTAGATAATAATAGTAAAGTGCTTCGCATAGTGCCTGGTACATGGTAAGCACTATAGAAATGCCGATTTCCCTTTAGGATCCTATTTTTCCGAATGCCAGGTAACTAAGATGTCTTTATGGTATTATGGAATTCCATGTTTCATAAAAGAAGAGGTTATAAATTTTTAACTTCTAAAAATCAGTTTAAGGTGTCATGTACATGTGTCAGAACTAGGGGCAGCTAGGTGGTGCACTGAATAGAGCACCAGCCTTGGAGTCAGGAGGACCTGAGTTCAAACATGGCCTCAAATACATAACACTTACTAGCTGTATGACTGGGCAAATCACTTAACCCCAATTGCCTCACCAAAAAAATTTTAAAAAAAAATTAGTGTGAACCTAATGAACAATTCTTAGTAAAAATTTTATGATCTAACTTAACCTTCTAACAATATACATATAATATACGTGTATATATGTACAAACATGTATGTACACATATATATTTGTTTAGCTTCAAATCACTGGGCTTTGACTTTGTGTAGGAATCAAAGTAGAGGATAGAGGTGTTTTAGTTACATTAGCTTATCAGATGTGTAGTAATTGTTAGTATACTTGCTAATGGACATTTTTTCAGCTAAACTTTAGTCTTCAAAAACTTTTAATAGCTCACATTTATTAAAGAGTTTTAAAGTTTACAAAGTGCTTTACATGCATTTTCTCATTTGATTCTCACAAGCTTCTAAAGATGGTTTCCATTTTTATCTCCATTTTTCAGATGAGGAAACTGAGGCTTAAAGAGATTAGGAGTCATATAGCTAGTAAACACCTGAATTAAGAGTTGAGCCTAGGATCTTCCTGATGCCCAGTCCCACAGTCTTGGGTGCTGTGCCATGCTGCTGAACCTGTAGTGAGGCAGCATTTTTCAGGTTTGCCAGCCCGTTAACTCTAGCTATGACTTAACACTTTCCAAAGAACAGGTGTCCTTTCAGAATCCTCCTCTGTGTCCTTATTACTTTGCTTTTTAGAGACTGTGTATATCCTGTAAGTGTTGATTTGTGGATGCAACCTTCATATAGTCAAATCTGTATTTGACAAAGGAATAGGTAACTACAGAACTTACCATATTTAAGTCCGAGGTATGTAGGGTGGTGTCAACTGTCAGCATTCCTCTTGCTGTCTAGAGTGGTTTTTATTAGGAAAAAAGTAAAAAAATGACCTGCTGGAGCTTTCCTTCCTCACTCTTTTATGCCTTACAGTTAGGAAACAAAACCAAAAGACAGAAACCAACCCCGAAGAGCTGTAGTCTCATTACCTGTTAGGCACATTATATTAACGAGAGCCTCTGGTGCCTAGCTTTAAAAATTTCTAAGTTGTTGACAGTTACTTGGAGCAAAATAATCATACAATTAAACAACTGTAGTCATGAGTTGTTTTTTCTTTCCAGTAAAATGTTTTCCATGTTATCTAAAGGTATTTAAATATTTCTAGTAAATTATAAATTTCACAGGTTTTTGAAAAAGTAAAAGTAAAATTGACCTGACTTAGCATTTTGTTTTGAATGTTAGAAATCAAACAACCTGATTGATCAGAACTTTTAAATTTTGGCTTTTGTGATCGAGGCTGAAAGTGAACTTGAGAAATGCTTTCCTTCATTTGTGACTACTATTTTGCTTCAGCTAGCTGTGTAAAATAATGGAAAGATGCAGTGATTCTCTGACTTTTTAGAGCTGTATAGAAATTAATTCTTGAACTTTGACCAATTGTAGCTTGGTAATTAGTTACTTTAAATTAGCCTACTGTTAAACATAGCTTTTGAAAATGACACTGATAATAACATTCATTTTCATCTAAATGTGTTTAACCCTGATCTCTTCACAGTGTACATTTTCAGGTAGCGTGGCAATAAAAGAAGAAAAAGAAAACGTTTGTGAAGTTGAGAAAAGGTTTGTCAGAATATTGTAAAAGCACCATAATTTTCCATGATATTTTAAAAGGTATTAATGCAATTTGTAACTTAAACAATGTGCCAAATATGGGACGTAATTTGTTTAACATGTCAGAAAATGAGTATAATTACACACTGTGGTAATTGTTGCTATTTACCAAAAGAGAATTAGAAGAGTTCTTGAGACTAGCATGTATGTAACTGAGGCAGAAAACACTGCTAAAGAAAGACGGACTGGAAGAGGTGTTAACTAATACTACAAAGGAAAATGTATAATCTTCTAAATGTCATAGACACAGATATAAGGACAGATAAAAATGGATGACTTTGTCTTCCAGACTGGTGTTCCCCCAATATATCTTGAGGAGTACATGTAGAAATAATAAAATTTAAAGCTGGAATAACTTTACATCTCCTAATTCAGTTCCCTTATTTTACTAACGAGGAAACTGAAGCCTAGAAGAGCAAAATAGCCAAGAAATTAGAGAGAATTATTATTGAAAGAAGCTGGGTAAGAGCTAGGTTGGTACATAATATTTAAGCTTCATAAATTTCCATATAGCATTATAGAATTTTAAAACAAGGAGGCATATGAAAGGTGAGTCTAGCCTGTTTTGTAGATGAGGAAAGAGAGGCCCAGACATAAATGACTTGACCAAGGTCACATTGTTAACAACCCAGTTCTTTTGCCTGCAAATGCAATGTTCTCTCCCCTATTTCATGCTTTTCATGAGTTAACCAATTGGAGAAACTTAAAGGGGAGAAAATTGACCAGAAGGACAAACTTCAGATTTAGAGAAACTGAGCTTTAAACCAGAACAGTATATATTTCTTGTATGAAATATAGGTCAGCTTGGCTCTGCCAGTACCTAACTCTTTCATTGTGGGCAAATTGCCTACCCTTTTCATGCCTCAGTTTCCTCATCTTTATCATATGGGATTGTTGCTATCTTCCAAGTTCAGATTTTGTGATTCTAGCCTACTTTAAATTAGGCTCGTACTTAAACCTACACTAATTTTGCCCAGAGGATCAGGAACCTTCTCCTACCCCAACCTGGCTTTTCACCAGGAGTGATTAGATAGGGAAGTGTGGACTGATAAATTCCTTGTTATTAAAAACAAACAAACATGACTCTTATACCCAGCTTTCCCTTGTTCCTCCTTGTGACTTATTTCCATCTCTTTGCTATTTTCAAAACTTTGGTGTTACTTTGGACTTCCTTCTCTTCTCATTTCTGGCCTATTAGTAAATAGAGGGAGGGCCAAGTGGCCACTAGTTGGGAATGTTCTGGATTAGATTGTGGCTCAAGTACAGGGGTGTCTAGAGGGACTTGTGGGCCCTTCCAACTCGCAAATTGTTGTGTTTCTGTGAGTTACCAAGTCCTGTGGGTTCTGCCCACCTCATACTTTGTGCACCAACCCTTCATCCAGTGTCCTTGTCACTGTCCTGACTGGATCCTCCATTGCCACTGGCCCAGACTGTGGCCATAGCCCACTCACAAGTGTTGCGACCTCTTATCCTTCAGCCAGTCTTTCATGTGACTGTCAGACTGCCATCGTCATTCTTGTTCAGAACACTGAAAGGTTGTCGGCTTTCTAATCCAGCTCAATCCCCAGTGCTTCCCAGTATTCTCTTTTATCCCCTTCACTTAAATTCTACAAGCACTTGTAAATGCCTGCTTTGTGCCTGGCACTGTGTTCGGTGCTGGGGCACAAAGGCCAAAACCAAGTAGCCTTTGCCTTCAGAGAGCTGGAGATCTCTTTGGGGAACAGCATCTGCTCAAATCAAAAACTGTAACCTCTGCATAGGGAGTATGCACAATAGGATGTTTGGGGAGGGTGCTGGCACCTGGGAATCAGGCGAGATTTACCCTACAAAAGAGTACTGACAGGGAGCTGAGAAGGAAGCTGGTGATTCCGAGAGGCAGAAGTGAGGTGACAGGAGAGCATTTCACATTTGGAGAACAGCCTATGCAAAGGAATGGAGCCAGGAGATGGAATGCCTTGTACAGGAAGCAGCCCAAAGGCCAGTGTGGCTGGTGTCCATGAAGGGGAGTAGTGTGTAGCTTCCCAACCATGGCTTTGGTACCCTCCACAGGAAGTGATCAAATAGTCTTCTTCCCTTGTTCTGACTAGGTAATCTCCTATCCTGATGGTACATGTGGCTCTCTTATCATTCTTTGGGGGAGAAAAGAATCATCCATCTTCCTTCTTATTAAAAAAAAAATTCTTAACAAACCCCAAATAAAAATAAGCATTTCCAAATACAAAGTAGAACAAAAAAGAGGATTATACATGAAACTGTTCCTGTCTATCATGTACAGTTCATTTTTTCCTTTTAAGTATGTAATAAATTCATCATATAACTTTCAAAACTGTGTTTTGCTGTGTTTGCTTCTGGCCTTCCTTCTGTTATATTCTAGACTATTTTTTTTACACACTTAATCTCATTTCTTTTTTTCTTTTTTTTTATACACCTATTACTATAGGCTTCTCTCTTTCCCAAAGTTGGGGGAGAAGGAAGAAAAAACCAAAATTAAAACCCTTGTAACAACTATGCGTAGTTAAGCAAAACAAATTCCCACATTGGCCGTACTCAGATGTATGTCTCCGAGTCTTGAGTTCATTACTTCCCCATCAAGAGGCAGGCAGAACATGTCAGTAGTGGTCCTTTGGAAGGAATCGCAGCTGATTTGTTGCATGAATCAGTTCTTAGTCTTTCAAAGTTGTTTTTCTTTAGTGTTGTTGGACTTGTATAAATTGTTCTCCAGATGTCGGTCACTTGTCTCTGCATCAGTTAATATAATTCTTTTCATGCGTCTCTGAAACCTTTCATCATTTTGACTCAGTAAGATTCCACTACATGTGCCATAATGTGTTCGTTGCCCAGTGAATGAATACCCTCTTAGATGTCTGCTGTAACAAAGAGAACTGCTCTAAATGTTTTTGGATAGAATGGATCTTTTTCTTGCTTTTATCTGTTTGGGGTTATAGGCCTAGTAGTGACATAGCTAGGTCAGTAAGTAGACACACTTTAGTGTCTTTTGGGGGAGCTAATTCCAATTTGCTTTCCATATTGATTGGACCACTTCACAGCTCCACCAACAGTGCATTGGTGTTCGGTTTTCCCACAGTCCCTGCAGTATTGTCATTTTCCTTTTTGTCATCTTTACCAATCTAATGGATGTGAAATGGAATCTTGGAGGTGTTTTAATTTGCATTTCTCTTATTAGTGAAACTTTTTTTATGTGGTTGATCATAATTTAGCTTCCTTTAGGAACTATCTGTTCATATCCTGCTGGGAAATGACACTTTTTTCTTACATTTAAATCAGTTCCTTAAATATTTGGAAAATGAAACATTTGTTAAAGAAATCAGCAGAAATTTTTTTCTCCAATTAATGATTTTCCTTCTTTTAACTGCATTAGTTTTATTTGTACAAAAACTTGTAAATTTTATGAAATCAAAATTGTCCATTTTATCATCTGCAGTCCCCTTTTCCCTCGTTTGGTCATGAACCTTTCCCATAGCTATAGTTGGCAAAAGGTATTTCTTTCCTTCCAAGTTACTTATGATGTGACTTCTTATATCTAAGCCATATATCTGCTTGGAGTTTATCTTGGTGTGTAGCATGGAATGTTGGCCTAAACTTGCCAGTTTTCCCAGCAGTTTTTGCTGAGAAATTATTTCTTACTCCAGTAGTTTGGGCCTTTGGATTTATTGAGCACTGTTCATTTGCTCCTGTATGTTCTGCACCTATGTTCCACTTTTCAGCGTTTTAAAAGAAATTTTATTTTTGAGCTCCCAGTGTTCAGTGGTCCTTCTCCTTCCTTCTTTGTATAAGTCTTCCATTTTCCAACCTTCTGAAGCAGGTCAAGATTCTCCTCAGCCTCTTCAGATCCATCTTCTGCATGGGGCTTTTGGAATGCTTTATTCTCCCTCCTAACCTGGAGTGTGCAGTTCCTCAAACCCTTTCCCCTTTTCTTCCAGGGGAAAGACTGATGATCCCTTTCACTAGAGATAGCAGTCCCTGGGCTATGGCAAATAAAACTGTCCACACAATCACCACAAGACCCTGCAGGATTCTTCTTGCTATCTGCTTCCTAGACAGGAGATCCTCCGGCTTTTTGTGCAGTGCTTGTGGCTCACCTCTTTGACGCTTCATCAATACCTTTACCACCTCTTCAGCACTTCTGAAGAGCCTGGTCTCCCTCTTTTGTTTCTCTGCTTTCACTGGCCTCTTACCTTGTGTCACCAGGTAGTTTTACTTGCCATTTCCCCCTCGCTTTTTACTTTTCCTCCTCTTCTTTCCTGGGATCCTTCTCAATTGGTCTCCTTCCAGTCTTTCTTAATTTCCCAAGATCCGGTCTGTGGCCTTCATGGTTCCAGAGCCCTGCAGATGACCTTCAATTACGTCTTCATGTTCAGTTCTGCTCTTCTCTTCTAGCCCTGTCTTCCACACAGCTTTCTCTTGGGGGAGTTGAAGTTGGTGTTTTTACACCCAAGTCGAGCACTTCATTTTTACCAGTAGGAAATTTGATCTCACTAGGAGGAATTCATTGCTTTATCCTTTCGGCATCTTTTGGAGTCATGAGGCTGCCATTTAATGGGGCATGCTGTTCTTCCCTGGGTCTGAAATCATACAACGCCACATCTGTCTAGCTTGTTAGCAAGAGAGCAGCCCCCGACTGCCCTGAGTTTTAAGAGTTTTACTGCACAGTGGAAAAGAGGACTGGTCCAGGAGTCGTTGGCAGTGCTGGGACTGGAACCCACCGAGTACCAGACAGGTCTGATACCCCCTCCCTTGTTTCCCCACGTAGGAAAATCATGGGGCTGGTGTCTGTTTTAGTGGAACTGTATACATTGGTTTTGTTGTTGTTGTTTTGGTCAGCTGTCTTTTCTGGTTGTCATTGTGTCTGCCTGCACAGGAGAAGGTAGGAGAAAGGGTCCAGATAGGAGTCGAAAGGGTAACAGAATCAGAACCTTGACAGGCTAGAACAATGGATTAAATCTAAGAAGATGCCGTGTTGGAAATTTTTTGCTTTAATTTACTATGAGCTGGGAAAACTTTTTTGCTTTTTGGTTCACAAGTGACTTCCAGATAATTAGGATCTTGCTGTAATTGGCAGAGAGTAACTGTACTCTCTACCAATGTCATGCTATACAGTTGTTTAAAATCTTGCAAGAATAGGAGATCGGTATGTTCAGGTGGTTTTCGTATGCCTTTGTTTGGGAATGGCATATGTAGAATCCCTGAAGAATTCAGCTAAGTTAGGCTCATTGCTTGGTTAAGTCCAGGGGTGGGGAACCTGCAGGTTCCCCACCCCTGGTTAAGTCAATCATTGGTGACCATTAGAATCTCAGTGAGGCTTCTCACACCATTTCCTGTCTCACACCCATAATAAATTCAACTCACTTTTTAATTCCCTCCAAGAGTTTACTCATTCCTTTTAAAAAGTCATTAATCTTAGTTTATCTTAGCATAAATTTTCTAATACAGTGTTCATTTGGTGAGAGTGAAACAGTTTGCTTGTTATTAGATAATTACTTCAATATTTCAAGGCTCTGTGATTTTTTTTCTCATGTACAGATACTCCCTAACTCATTAAGTGGTCTTCAGAAGCATGCTGTAGTGCACCTGGCAATTCACCTCTCTGAATTTAGCTGAGCTGGTCTTTGCAACAACCCATTTTGTGACCCTGCCCGTACGCCAAACCTCTGCCCCACATTAGGGCCAGCCAGACCTTATGCTCTCTCCTGATAGCTTCTTTAAGAACCCAGGGTACCTTTGGACCGTTGTAGGGCCATGAGGATAGGACTTTAGGAAAGATAATTAAGCATAAAAAAAGGTTATTTTTAAGTTCTAAAGACATTTGGCAAAATGTAGGATACTACAAGTAATACCTGATACTTCATTAAATTAACAAGTTTGGGTCACAATTTGTTTTCTTTTACTATAGCAAGGATTCTAAATATGCAGAGATACCCTCAGGTGAGCATCAGTTAACACCTCGGTGTCCAGCAGTTCCGTGTCTGCCAGCACCTCCTTTGAATCTAAAGGCTCATCCAGATGGCACAACCCTGAAACCCTGGATGAATGGTATTATTTTCCAAACAAAAATAACCTATTGTCTTTGTGTCATGATGCAAAACAGTCTGCACTCACAGCTTAGAAAATCACTCCAGTAAGACTCATTTTAAAATCAAAAAGCTTCCATACAGTGGCTTGATACTGTTGACACAGTGAAATCTTGATTATGTATAGCAGGGTAACGTTGCAATAGGGCGAGTGAGTTGAATTCACAAGACTCATCTTTATAGATTATTTGAAGATGAAGCTGCATGATTTAATAGGAAGGGCGCTAGATTGGAGTCAAAAGCCTCCGATTCCGACCCCGTCCCTGACGCCTGTTAACCACACAACCCTGGGCACAGTCACTGAAGCTTTTTTAGCCGCCAGTTCATCATCATCTGTGTTTTAGAACTAATGGAGCTGCAGGAGCTGCCTCACTAGTTTGACCAAAGGATTAAATGAGAGCATTTACCTAAACTGCTTCAGGTGGTTCTTTTCATCTGGCTTCCTCAAATTCATAATGTTTCAAATAAAGTCATGAAGCCACACCCACTTGACTCAGGAAGCACTTACCATAGGTTCCCAAAGTAGGCAATGCCACTTCCTGGAGGGCGTTGGAACAGTAGGAGGGGAATGGGGGGGAGGGGGTTAGTAGCCTCGGGTGTAATTGGGGAGTGTTTAATAAAAATAAAGGGATGGTGGAAACATAAGGAAAGAAGAGAAAAAGAAGATTTTGAAAGAACATTCATACATATTTCACCTGTTGTGTAATGGAGTTAGTCATAGTGATTATACCATTTTCCAAATGAACACACAAAATGCAAGTTATAACTATCATAATATCAGTGATCAAATCCTCCAGCAGGTCTTAACAAGCAAGTGTTGACAGACAAGTGTGTTTTGTGTTGTTGGGAAGTCCAGCATGCATCGGCAGGAAAATGTGTGTGTAATGACTTGGTTCCAATGATACTATACAGTTACATGATGCAATATTATGTCATCAAAATTTCAATACAGGAAAAAAACAAATTTACAATAAATTATTAAATTTAAGATGTCATTTTTAAAAAGATTTTGTATTTTTTGAAATGATGCAGATTTTTAAAAAAGAGTTGAAGAAGTGCTTGAGTAATTTTTTTTTTTTAAGCAATAGGCCAAATAAGTTTGGGAACCTCTGGTAGACACTGCCTTGCTCTTTTCATTCAGCCCTATTGTTCTGTGCCTCTTTCCTCTGGATTCCACAGATACCACTTCCTAAAGCAGGCCTGCCATCTTACTTGCTTTGGGGGAGAAAAGAGATAATTGTTGTGGTAGGCAAAGACCTTTCCAGTAATAACGATTTTGATATCGTTTTTTCTGCTTAATTCCTTTAAATTGCCACCACAGTTTTGTGCTGCATGTAATAATTGGTTATTGTGTGTGTGTATGCATACACGTGTATGCATGCATATATATGTGTATATCCACACATACATGTATTTCATCAAAGTCTTACCATCACCTGCCTTTCCTCTTCTACACACACACACACACACACACACACACACACACACACACACACGAAAATTTGTCCTTCTGTGGTAGAATAGATTTCAGTATCCCTGGCTCCTATATAGAAACTGATATTCTGTAAAGTTCCAAGAAAATCTTCAATATATTTAAAGGAAGTTTTGTGCATATGAAAGAAAAATGATAGTAACTGATTTCTATCTCTTTTTTTTCCAGATTTTAGATTTTCAGGGAAATACCCTCTCCTGATGTTGCAGAATCCTGAAAATTGTGAGATATTTAAAAGGGAAAAAACTGCAGGGGTGAGTATCTCAGCTTTTTGTATGAGCCTCCACTATAGGACTTTTCTGTGTCCCTGTTGATGGTATTTCCTTGCTTGTCCTCGTGTAGAACAGAGACCCAAGCAGGAATTTACTGGGAGAGTCAAGCCTGGTGGTGTAGAGGTCCTTCCTGAGGAGATAGCCCAAGGAGGACTAGAGACAGGGTGCAGAAGGACAATACAGAGTGGGGGGAAGGGTCATATCAGTAAGCAGTGATGTCTGAAGGAGGCACAGCTCTGGTGAGTGGGTTGGTGGGGAGAGAGGGAGAGACAGAGAATATTATCAGGTGGGAGAAAAATTTGAGTCAGTTATGAGAAGTTGCCTCTTAGAAATACTGAAGATAAATTTCCTTCATTTTCATTAATCTTCTAATGATTCTATATCAAATTAAGTGTCATTCGTTCCCTTCCAGTTTTGTTGCAAACATCCAAATACATGTTAAATAATATGTAGCAAACTTGTCAGAAATTTTATTGGGGAAAGTGTGGAAAAGCTAAATTTTTCTTTTACAAATATAAAATAGAAGTTGAGTTTTCTTATTAAATTAGCCCTGGCTAATCTTGCTCATTTGTATATATGTAATATTCCCACCTATTCTTAATTTCTCGTTCCTTCCCTCCCATCCTCCATAGAAATAGTTTCTATTTTTTACTAGCTGAAAGCATTTATCCTGCTTTTTTTCTCCCTTCCTTTAAAAAAAAATCCTTAGATGTTCCAGAAGCCCCTAGGATTGATGATGTTACCCCATGGATATTGCAAATTTCATTTTAATACATTACGTGGCTGTGAGCGACCATTGTGTAAATTTGCCCACGTTCCTGAACAAGCAGATGAAAAGGTACAGTCTCTAAGGGTTTGAAACTTTAAGGAGAAATGATTTGTAGTAAACATTGAAGAAAAATAGAAGTTTGATTTTTACCTGTATTTCATTAAAAATACATGGTCCTAAAATGATGTGTTTAAATATTTTCTATACCACTAAGAACTTTTTTTTTCTCTTGAAAGTTAGTCATTTGTATAGGCTACAACAGATAGTAAAATGGAAGTTGCATGAATAAACCAATGGCCACAGATAGTAGTTACTTCAGTCCTCAGGTGTGAATTCTCTAAAAGTTTTTCATTTTCCATTTTATTGAGGAGCCAATTCTTGAGCGATTATCTGATCTAATCTATTTCCAAAAATGTATCCTGATGAGTCCCCAAGCTGAACAGATTTTTGTAGCTGTAATTGGGCCTTCCAGCTATATATGTCATCCTTTTAAGTTTAAAAATCATTTACAGAAAGATTTTGACCTACAAGTGAAGTAACAAATGAGAAGCTCCTTAACTTCCTATTCTACCAGTGAAGGAAAATAAATCTAGTGTTGGTAACAAGCACAGGGCTGAGGAGCCGGTCTGAGGCCACGCAACAGAATCAGCCCAGATCCAGTAGACACCTGGATTTTATTGTCAGGGTGTCCTGAGCAAGTTGGAAGGTTTGGAAAAGTTGGTAGGGATTGGGCTGTGGTGGCCTGGGCTCCCCTCCCTTGTCCTGCCCAGTGTTGCTGTGCTGGCCCCTTGCCTCTGTCTCAGAAAAGGCGCCAGCTAGTTTCATGTCTTTCTGTAGTCGTGTGTGGTTTGTGGTAGGGTTGTGTACTGCTAGACAGCCAGAACAGAAGAACCTCTGAGGGCTCTTCTGCAGTGCACCTTTAGCTGCAGAACCCATCACTGATTCTTCAGGGCAGGATTCAGATGACCATCACTAGAGAACTGTGATCCAGTGACGAGTGTCTGTGGGTCAGAACGTGACACACAGTAAGGAAAATGCTTGTTCTGATGCAGGTCCCTTCTAGCCAAAAGGGAAATATTGATCCACAGTCAGTCAGTTATGATTGGAGCAACTGCCCAACAAGGTGTTGGGTCCAGAGAGAAATGCCGGCTGGTTTTTGTTTGGCAAAACAAAAGCACTTTCTTCTGATCTTTACTAATGGAGTGATACTTACATCACAGCAAAGGAAGCCTCCAGGGGTTTATCAGATCAGGGAAAACGTGTGAAACTTGTTCCCAAGTACTGAAGGAAAGGGCTGGGTAGCCGAGCAAGTTCAGAAGCTCTGTGTTTCCTGGCACTTACTAGAGGTGTGCAGTCTTGGCGGGACAGCCCCAGTTGTTAAGGCTGGGCATTTACTGCCTCAGTCTTGCCCACTCTCAGGGATGTGCAGAGAGTCTTCTGAGCCAGGGCCCAGTTGCAGAGTCAAATGAAACACTGACAATAGGAATCCAGTGGGTCTTGGCCCTCTCGCACACATGAATAACTTACAGAACAGAAAATCCAGGCTCCCCCACCACCTTTTTATCTCGCATAATTCTATTAAAATTAGGGTTCTGTTTGAAATTTTTACCTAGTAGGGTAGTGAACTGGAAATGACAGCTAACTTGGGTTTGGTTTTTGTTGTTTTGGGGGAGCTTTGTCCCAGCAGATGTTATCTTCACCCTGGATTTGTTTTCGTGAAAAACATTTTATATGGAAAAAATTAGGGGTCAGTCTTTGTGTAGTATTGTTTATGCCCCATGATGTGGGAAGGTTACTTCTCTCAAGGGAGCAAAAAGACTTTTAGATTCTTCAGGCTTGTTTTTGAAATTGCTACTAATTTTTTTCCCTGATGCTCACAAACCAGTGCTTAAACTTCACAGTGAAAGAACTTTGGATTCTGAGCCTATCATAGTCTAGTCTGCCTATTTCAGTTCCAGTAACCACTTCGTCAGATATCAAAACCTCACACCATTGAAATGGCTTTCCATCTCCTTATTTAAGTCAGAATGCTGGTAAGCAAGAAGTGAATAAAATGCTGGACTTCAAGTCGTAAAGACCTGAGTTCAAATCCTACCTCAGATACTTATTAGCCATGTGACCCTGGGCAAGTTACTTAACTTTCCTCAGTTTCAGTTTCCTCATCTGTAAAATGGAAAAATAATTGTACCTACTTCACAGGGCTGCTGTGAGGATCAAATGAAATAATGTGTAAAGTACTTTGTACTACATAGATGCTTAAAGCACTATGTGAATGCTAGCTATTATTAAGATATTTTCTTCTTTGTGTTAAGAGTGGCTTTACTGTGGAAAAATAAGTGTCATGTGACTTGGCTCACTTTACAGAAGAAAAGACCTCCTAGGAATGTGAACAGTTTTCAAACAAAGAAATGTAAACTGTTAACCATTGGGGAAAAAATGTTCCCAGTGACTATTAAGAAATGCTTATTAAAGCAGCTCTTGAGTTTTCAGTCAGATCCATCAACTTAACAAAGATAAGAGACAGAAATAGTGTTGGAAGGGCTATGGGAAGAGATGACTGGTAGAACTGAATTGGTCTGGCTAGTCTAGAAAACAACTTGGAATGATTGGAGGAAAGTCAAGAGGTCAAAGGCAGCCTGGTCCCTTATAATGCAGTATTAATAAATGCCTTTGTGGTAGCAAAAAGCTAGAATAGCGGTGTTCAGCTGGCGCCTGGCTGAGCAAGTCGTGGTGTAGGAACTTGATGATATGTTAGCTTACGCTGTAAGCAGTTACCAGTCTGAGTAATTCAGATGGGAAGGTTCAGGTAAAGGGAGCCAAACCCAGAGAATGATATGCAGTGACCACAGTTCTATAAGTAAAAGGCTGTGAACTTGGGTTAAATGCAGTGATAAGTCCGAGTCCAGGTGATTAAAACACACTTCCTTTTCTTTTTAGTTTGGGGATCTGGTGGGCTGCAGAGCAGGCCTGCAGAAAGCTGCACCCACGGTGTCTGCATGAGTTGCTGTGTTGGTTGGCTTTGCTTAATTGTAGGGATTGTCTCACGGTATTTGTACCTCCATCGCTTAGCAGAGTTGGGGCACTCACTGATTGTCATGTAGACAGGTTGTCCCTCCCTTATAATAGAAGATCTTTGGGAGCAAGAATTGCCTTTTTTTCTTTTTTTTTTTTTTTGGTGTTTTTCTCCCCAGGTCTACCACAGTGCCTGGCACACAGGAGGCACCTAATAAATACTTCTGTTGGGTTGATTCTGCTGGGCCCTAGAACTGGCAGCAGTAAGTGGAAATTGCAAAGAAGCAAATCAAGGCTTGAGATAGGAGAAGACATCCTAACAATTAAAGCTAGACAAAAGCAGGCTGCCTTCTCAGGAGGTAGTAGGTTATTCCTCTTTGAAGATGTTCTGGAGTAGCTAGATGGTGCAATAGATAGAGCACTGGCTCTCGAGTCAGGAGGACCTGAGTTCAAATCCGACCTCAGACACTTGACACTAGCTATGTGACCCTGGCCAAGTCACTTAACCCTGATTGCCTCACTCAAAAAAAAAAGTTCAAAGAAAAGTTAAGTTCTATGATCACTTAGTCGTTGGACATTTATTGAGCACTCCTTTGTGCTGAGCACTGTACTAGGCCCTCGAGGTACAAAGACAAAAGTGAAATGTCTCCTTTCCTCAAGGAGCTTATATTCTCTCTGGGGAGACATAAACAAAGTCAGCACAAGGTCATTTCAAGGAGGAAGAACGAGGCGCTGCAGAGAGCAGGAAAGGCTTTATTTGGGGGTGAAATCTTAACTGAACTTGGAAGAAAATGAAAGACATGAAATGGAAGTGAGTGCTTTCTAGTCATGCAGTAGGGAGGGGGATGGTGAGGTGGAGCAGACTATGCAGATGCCTCCTCCCCCCCTCCCCAAAGGAAATGAGCAGAGGAAAAAAGATCAGTATGAGAGAGGTTAAGTACGGGTAGATGGAACAAAACTTGGCAGCTGGTTGGAAATGGGGGTGAGGGAGCATGGGAAGTCAAGGATAGCTGCAAGGTAATGAAACAGGATGACTGGAAGAATTTCTATAGAAATAGAGATGTTAGAAAGAAGGGTGAGCGGTGGGGAGAGGAGATGAGTTCTCTTGACATTGAGTGGGAGATACCCGTGGGTATGTCATATGAAAGATTCTTGTTCTACTGTGTGTGTCTCACTGAAAGGCCTTTTGAGATCCCCTCCAACTCCTTCTGTGGTTTGGCCTTAGTCTCTTAACAGTTTTTACAAATTGGGGTTCTGTCATCCAGTCTAACACCTGTCTAGTATGGGAAAACATAGGGGCTTGCTTGCTGTAAAGCACTGCAGCCTATAAAGTATTAGCCTGTGGCCACCAATGATGTAATCGGCCTCTACTGTGCTGAGGATATTCAGTTAAATTTGTAATGAACGTCCAAAAATGCTGCCAAGTAGAACAATCTATAATAATGCTTATTGTAAATTGAAATGAGAAAAGTCTTATTGGTTCAGGAACTAAAAGCTAGAGAATTATATTTTTCTTTTCAATATAAGAGTGCTTGTGAAACCTAGTTACTAAGTTTGAGATCAAGACAGTCTCCCTTTGGAAAAGTCAGTCTCTTTTTTGAAAAAGTCAAAACCCCCATTATACAGCATTAACTCTCTTTGGAAAGCTCTCTAGAGGTAGAGAAGGAATTCAGTTTAACCCTAACCTTAACTCTTTTGGCCTTGTTACCTAAAACTTTTTAACATAAACTCACATTTCACTTTCTATGAATTTAAATATTTAAATGTTTTAGGTACATGCCTAATAAATTATTGCCTGATACTCTGAAGTAATAGGAGAGTTTTGATTTTTTAAGATTCATAACTATATACTTTTTAATGACTCCTACTGATAGGTCTTTAAAATTGGCTTTTTTCTTCCATGTGTCAGTATGAATTAAGACCGTCTTTTTCATCCTAAATAATTTAAACTTAGGCAAAATGTGGAGTGGCCAAGAAGATAAAAGTACTACTTATGTAAATTTTATTCTTATAGTCTGTTCAGGAATGAATCATAACAATTTTTCATGGTTTCTGCAGGTTTGCATGGAAATACTTAAGAAATATATAAATATCGGTGAGGTGTGTTTGCTTCAACGTGCAGGTATGAGACAAACTGCTGAAATGTAACTCAGTAATGTGTATATTTCAAATGGAAAGTTCAGTTGCATGTGTTAGACAATAAATATTATGTCCCGAGTATAAAAATGACATGACTTACTAGAAAAGGTTCTCCTGATACAAGAAAATATTAAATTAAATGTGATATTTTATTTGTTTTAAAACTTATCTGGCCCTACCATGTTATACCATAAGTCATTATTAAGCACTTTTTTTTTCATTATTTAAACATTTTCCATACCCACTCAAATTATGGAAAGAGATTTTGCTAAATAATGCAGTTTGCTTACATATAAAATATTTATGTCCTATGCTACTAGAATTACATGTTAATTATTTTATATAAACATGCACAAATTGCCTCATGTCTCCCAATGGCTTATGCATATTCACTCTTTATCTCTTTTGCCCTGGAGAATTTGGCAAGTGGTGTTCTTATTTTATGAAGATGGAACACAGGTGAGACAAGATAGCCTTCTCAAAGCTATGTAAAATATGCAAAGAGCACACAGTTAACTCATGTTAGGACTCCTAATTCAAAAGTTACCCCTCCACTTTTCACCTGGGTTTTTATTTCTTAAATAGCATTCAAAAATAACTGGGTAAAAAATTGAAGAAAAAGTGTCTGTTACTTCTTGATAGTATTCTTTTCTGAAATCTACCATTTGGTCAAATATTGTGATCTTTGAACAGTAAGAATACAAGGGAGTAATGTTTCAGCATCCTCCAAGAGATAACTATCCCCTCAATCTCCATCCCTCCACCAAAATGCTGGGCATAGCCCAGAGGAGCTGGAAGCTGGAGAAGCCCCAGTGGCACTCGGGGAGACTTGAGAGCATAGCAGCCATTAGGAATGACTGGCCCATAACACGTACCAAAGAAATGACCGCAGGGACAACTGAAACTCCCCTGACACCCTAGTCACAGTGCCTGCAGTCTGACACTGACTCGCCCCAGACTGGTGGGCTCCCAGCGTCGGCTTCAATCCTGGGTTGTTGAGAAGTCAGCTGTCTGGAGAACCCATATTGGAGCAGGTTTTAATCTTCTTCTGCAGCTGCCTTGAGGTCCTATTGTGTGAGGCCCAGAGACCCACAGCTGGATGGTACCAATATGCAGAAATCTTAAATGCCTGGTTTTTCGGCAGCTAGAAACAAGAGCAGCAACTTAATTGTGTCTGAACACTAATACTCCCTGGAATTTGTCCTAATGTTAGTAAATCAGATTGCTTTTTCCTACGTATTACATAAAATTGTTGACCAATCCCATATGTGTTGAGAAGTCTTTACAGTAGAAAATAGATAACATATATTCTTAAGCTGTCTGAACACCACCAAATGATACAAATCAAGTCATTCTTTATTATTGCCTCCTGTCATCACTGGCCACAGTTATATCCCCACAAAGTTGAATAACTAATTATGTACGAAAACCTACCATGTATCAGAAAGAAGGCACTTTCATTGGGTATTTTTTTTCTCCAGTAAGGGACTTGGATGTTTTATGCAGAGCTGTCACCTGTAGGCACTCCCATATTGGCACAAGCATAGGAGGAAATTGGACACCAGAAGCTTGCCTTTGGCTGGCCCTTCCAGGATCAGTTGTTTTGAATGGAGGAGCAAGTAGCCATCTCTCACACTTTCTTAATAAATGCCTAGTAAATTTAGTAATGTCTTCAAGAAGTCCATAGCATGTTATCTTTTCTGTAATCCTTTTTGTGTGTGCTAATATTATAAGGAAGTTCTCCCATTAAAGAGAATTGAAAGTTACTGAATTTAACCACTCGGAATAACTGGATAGAAGAAAGACAGTTTGTGACCAAAGGCTCTGAACAATGAGTTCTCAAGCACTGCAGCCTGCTGATAGCCATAGGAAAGCGTGGTCTAAATCACTGATGAGAAGCACACACCTGAACAGCCCTGGGGATCCTTTCATCTCACATCCAGCAGACTAGCAAAGGTGATGAGAGACGGCGATAGTCGTTGGAGGTGTTGTGGGAAGATAGGCACGCTCAGTGCGTCGTCGTTGTTGGAACTGTGAGTCTGTGCAGTTGTGGAGAGTAGTTTTGAGTCATACAGATAAATTAACTCAAGGGTCACATCCTTTGACCCAGAGGTTCCACTGCTAGGCATATTCCCCAAGGAGGTAAACTGGTAAGAAAATCCACATAGATAGCAAAATGTTGAATGTCAGCACTTTCTATGGTAGCAGAGAACTGGAAATGGAAGTAGATGCCAATCAGTTGGGGAATGACTAAACAAATTAAGTAAGGGCCACGAGTGTGAAGGAGAGTTACTGTGCTGCAAGAAATGACAGGTCTGGTGAGAAGCATGGAGAGGTCCACGTGAAGTGAGGCAGAGAGAAATCGTCAGAGCCAAGAAGACAAGGAACATGGTGACTGCAGTGACGGGAATGGAAAGAACAGCCACAGAGCAGTCGAAAGTGAACGTTGCAGAATTATGAGGAATGAGGATGGCCGCAAAGAAGAGTTGGGAGAAGATGCCCTCCATCCCACATCTCTGCAGAGGCGCAAGCTCCAGGATGAGTGTGAACCCTTGCATTTGTCACGCATTGATCAGTTTTGTGGCTCTTTTTTCTCTTCCTCTTTTTTTTAACTTTAAGGAAATTATTTGTTATATAAAGTAACCCTTAGGGAGGGAGGATGCTGGGAGAAATTTTGGCAATGTAAAAACGACATTAATAAAAATTTATTTTTAAATAAGATACTTCAGTAGTTGTCTACCTATCAAAATACAAAATTGGTCCCATGAAATGGGTTTATATTTTTAATTTCCCCACTGATCCGTTAGCCACTGGTTCACAAAAAAAAAAAGTCTTGCTGATACTAATCCCTGATTGGTTGAGAACAAATTGCGTCGTTTGGTATATACTGTTCAAGGTACAAAGGAGAGAGTAAAGCAGTAAATGAGAGTCACTTTAGACGGCCAAAAACCTGTACTTTCAGAACAACCAGAGGAGAATATGGGGAGATCTGGTGTTAATGATGTTGTTGTGTGAAAATAAGCCACATTAAAACTACAAGGAAGAAAAAAGTGGAAGTACCTACAGGAAATTGCATTCTCTGTTTTATAAAGCATTGTCTCTTTGGCAGTCTTTGAAACTCTACTGCTATGTATTCTGTCAATTAAATTTTAAAGTAAGTAGGAAGGCAGTGAGGTTCAAATATTCTGATGGCTAATTACATAGATGAAGGAAGTTTATTTTTCTAATCTATTGTCATATTTCATAAAGCCTGATGTTTACCCAAAAAAAAAAATTGGATAAGGACCTACCTTGACAGAAGAGGGTAATGAATCATTAACTAGGATTTGTTTCTTTTACCTAAGTCATTAAAGAAATAAAATGATTGAAAACATCTGTTTTTTCCACCAGTTATCAAGGAAGATTTTCTCTATCTTTGAATCTGTTTCTTTGAGCATTTGCCTTCCTTTTTTATGCTTCAACATTTTCATGACTATATATGATCTCATTGATGTAGCTATCCCTTCCACAACAACCCGCCTCTTCGGTAGGATTCTTACCTGTGTTCTCCCATGATTCTCCAAAGAGGCTCCAGCCACATGCTTGGTGGCTGCCTTTGCATGTACGTGGGTCCAGGAGGTTTTTTTAACATTCTGTGTGCAAAGATATGTATAAAAAGTTATAAAATGATTTACAAGTGCCTGCCTATACCCTTCTCCTATTTTTCATCGAAAGTTCCCTTGGTATATGCATAGAACATTCTCAGAAGGATTTTATAGTAAGAAGAGAGTAGGCTTTGGATCAGTAGTTACTAATGCCTTCTCACGTTGTCCTTTTTTGTGGTGGTACTTTCTGTGATATTTTCTCCTTTTTGATATACTCCTTTTCAGACTACTAATGAATGAATGAAAAATATCTATTAAGCATCATGTGCCAAACATTGTAATACAAATACTTTGCCTGCTTTCAAGTAGTTTACATTCTACTAGTGAAAGACAACATATATAGAGTATTGACCAAGGAGGGGTATCTTGGTTTGGGAAGTGATTGGGGATAATAAATGGAGCAGTAGGGGAAGTGATTGAGATGTTCTATCCAGCAGCAGTGTTAATATTGATCTGATTACAGTTCTGTCTAGAAAACACAAGGGAGCGAGGTACCCATCTGATGGTGGGTAAATGACCAGGTTACGGTGGTCCGGAAGGGTCAGTGGCAGGCGGGATAGATGTGCCATTCTGTCCTCCCCCCCCAAAAAAAATGTGACTAGGGTAGACTATGAAGCATGACTGGGACCAGCTACATACAGTGTGCTATTTGACATGCAGGCCTCAGGACAAGAATCCTTACCAAATGGTCTCTCCCAGCACAGAGTTCTGTGTGCACTTGGTCTGGTGGGGCTGCTTTTTCCCCATTTCATCTTCTATCCTGTGCCCTCATATCGTATGTTAGGTACTGAGGTGCTAGTATCCAAAAATGGTAGTTCTGCTGTCATTCCACTAAGAGTAGAGCGCTCTAGAAATATTTTCCTTCCAGTGTCCGAGTCTTAGCTGGGTCTTATCTCAAGCTTTCTACGGAGCAGGATTCCCTTTCACTGACTTTTGCTGTTTTGTGAGGTGAATAGTGCTCATTACTGTCCATAATATTAGGGAAAAAACCAACAGAGCTAGATTCTCCAGGACAATATGGAAGGCATTAGTGCACAGACTTCACAGCAGCGCAGTGCCCTGTGATCGTAGAGGTCGGGACCTAGGAGAAGCTACATGAGGTTTTGCTCTGTTGAGACCACTGAAGGATCAGCTTGATAAAAGGGAAGGTTCATAACGTGGACAAGTAGAAAAGAATAAGCCTAAGTAGGGATGACTGAAGGCATAGTCCAAGCCAATCTCTAGATGTGTTTGATGAGTAAAGTTGACATTAGAAGAGGAATTGCCTCAAAACTCTGCTTGTGACCTTAGAGGAGACACCATCTTGGAACAGCACACTGTGTTCTTTAGAGGCAAGGCTTTTACTCTGGTAGGAATGGGAGAAACTTCCTGTTATCGATAAAATTCTTAAGGAAGTAGGCAGTCTCTTTAAGAGATTGTCTGTGAGAAGCGGAGCTAACAGACTGCATGGGACAGAGGATTTCTGGATGACCCCTACGGAAGATCTTCATGCCTTTAAACAAGGATATATAGCATTAAAATTACCCAAAGGGGTAGAGTATGTGTATGTGTATGTGTGTGTGTGTAGGGTTTTTCAGTGTGTTGCCAGTTTCTGATGTCCGACACTGAATTATCATTCTTTCAAATCAAGGAAATTCTTAGTAAAAACTCATACTTTGTTATCCAGAATATAGGTGCCTAGATGAAGATGGTTTTGCATGTGAAAATCTTTGAGGTTTACCATTGAAAATGGCTTGCTATGGATTAGGTGAAATTATCATGAAGAGAAGCCTGAAACAATTCTATTCAAACTTCTTTTTCTGACACATTTTAAAATGTTATCTTGAAATGAAAGTACTATATTACAAACTATAAAATAGACACAAGAGACTATTAAACCCATCGGATCAATAGCCAGAACGTGTCCACTAATATTGGACTCAATACCTGGCAACGTAGCAGATGTTTCAATGATGTTCTTTTTGTTTTTTTCCTCTTCGCTAGTGACATTACAAGATGTTTGCATTTAGTGAGTGCCTTCTATGTACAGGCACTGTGTTGGGTGCTGGGGATACAAAGGCAAAAATTAAATGGCCCCTGCCCTCAAAGAGCTTACGTTTTGTCAGAGAAGACAACACATACACATAAGTATAGACAAAATCAGGTGATTTGGGGATAGCATAGGGGTAGACACTAGCAGCTTGGAGCCTTAGGAAAGGCCTCATACAGGAGGTGCCAGTCGGACAGATTGTTGAAGGAAACGAGGGATTCTAAGGTGGTGAGGGTGAAGGGAGTACATTCCAGGCACAGAGACCTCAACAAGGAAGAGGGAACACTGGGTTATGTGTGATGAACAGTAAGGGGAGTTTGATTCAGCCGTAGAATTCAGGAAGGGGAACAGTGCTTAACAAGGCATTTCATAAATATCCTCCTGCACCACTTCTTTCCCTTTCAGCAGAGAATTCCAACTCCTGTTTTTCCAAAAACATAGGCCAGTCATCCATTGTAAGCTGCTGCTTCCTCTCATATCCCACTACTCAAAACCTTCAGTGAATTCCCACTCTTTCTTCCTCGGTTCCAGTCTGTAATTGGAAGAGGTGCTTTTCTTTATCAGGACCAGTGCTGCTCACCTCTCGTTTCCTCTGGCAGTTTGCTGCTTCAGTCACCCCTGCTCTCTAACTTGGAGTATCTCCCTGTCTTCTAACGCCGCCTCGGCTCCCCACAGACCTGGCCGTGCCCTTCTTCCCCATTCTCTGGGATCTCTTCACAAGACTAGTGGCGGTGACTCGGCAGTCCCTGCTTTATCTGTAGTTTATCTAGGCTGGGTGACGGGAAGTCATCGAGTGCCATTCCTGGGGACTCCCATCGCCATCCCTGTACCTGGGGCGTCAGCTCCTGCACTTTCTGCATGAATGAGGAGCGGGCTATGGCTTTGTCTGGAACGCAGGCTCCTCGTGACTAGGGAGTGCTTCATTCTTTGTCCTTGGATCCCCCGCCCTTAGCACATAGCGGGCGCTTAGTAAACGCTGTTTGATTGGTTTCATTGTGATGAGGAAGACTTGGTGTGGAAGCTCTGTCGAGTTCAAGTCCACAAGCCGTGTGTAACTGGTAGTCTGAAGAGTTACCTGCAGCCTTGAGAGACGAAACAGCATGCCCGTGTGTGTCGGGAGCAGGACCTGGCCTCGGGTCACCTCGACGCCTGCACCAGCGCTCTGTCCTCTGGTCTTACTGCTTCTCTTCAGGCCCTGGCAAACTCGTTAGAGCCTGTCTCTCCTGGTGCAAGTCAGAAGAGACCTGAGCAGGAGCAGCTCGTCCGCCCTGTCCCCTGATGCCATTCACCCATGCTTCTCCCAGCTCTGGTCTTCTTCTCTAAAACGGCTTTTAAAAAAACAGTTTGGGGGCAGCTAGGTAGCACAGTGGGTAGAGCACCAGCCCTGGAGTTAGGAGGAAGCGAGTTCAAATCCAGCCTCAGACACATGATACTAGCTAGGTGACCCTGGGCAAGTCACTTAACCCCAATTGCCTCACCAAAAAACAGCCAAAAAAAGAGTTTAGGGTTGTGCTATATTTGCTCATCCCTCTAGGACTTTATGCTTTTTGTGCTCATTCATTTTTTATGACACAGGGTGCCAGAGTGGAGAATGTCGCCCCTGAGAGTCACGAATGCCTGAACTCCAATTCTTTCTCTAACACTTGCTGGCTCTGCGATTTAACCACTCTGGGCCTTGGTTTCCTTGCCTATAAATGATTTTCTTTTTTTTTTGGTGAGGCAGTTGGGGTGAAGTGACTTGCCCAGGGTCACACAGCTAGTGAGTGTTATGTGTCTGAGGCTGGATTTGAACTCAGGTCCTCCTGACTCCAAGGCCAGAGCTCTATCCACTATGCCACCTAGCTGCCCCTAAATGATATTTATAATATATACCTACAATGGTGGCAAGACTCAAATGAAATAATATGTTAAAATGCTTTGCCCTGTAAACACTATAATTATCAGGTATTATCATTATTATTATTATTATTATTACTTGGTAATCAAAATTATTTGAGATTTGTCTACTTCCAAGAACTAGCATCTCCAATGTAGTAATACAAAGAATATAGACTGTGGAGTCACTTGGCCCGGGTCTTCTACTTATGGTGCATGTGGCTGTGAGGTAAGTCAGTCTTTTGAGGCCTCAGTTTCCTTATTATGAAATGAAAAGGGTAGACTAGATCACTACGGTCTCTCCAAGATATAGATTTTTTTTTAATAAAGCTTAATGAATTGTGTTTAATTTCCAAATGACAATATCCTAAAATCCTATCATCTAAATCTTACATTTTCAGCAAACCTGTTTATGGAGTACTACAGAAAGTTTCCTCCTGGGGTACATTTTGAATCACAAGTGTTAAATGATCTTCTGATTTCTTTACTCAAATGCTGTTTATTGAAAGAAGTATTTCAGGTAGTAAACATCAGCATAATGGTCAAAATGCTGGTAAGTAACCTAGAAATACCTTTGAAAGTTTTTTCACTAAGTGAATGTTGTTTCCTTATGCATTTGTTTATGTAATTTAGTGGCTTGATGTCTATGTTTATTAAATACCTCCTAGAGAACAAGTGCATTTTGAGCCTGAATTAATTTGAGAAAGCAAAAGTATCCTGAAAGAGAAGAAATTGTGAAAATGAGTGTGCATCTTTTTTTTGTTTTATCCAGCCTGCTCTAAAAGTATTAATAAAAGTATTTGAGCATGTGGAATCTATGAACTTAAGGAATGCTGTGCCAGCTCTAATTGATATATTTTGTAAGGTATGATTTCTTATTCCTCTCTTTTTTTTGTTGTTTTTGATTTAAAACATTTATTAAGCAGCTGCTGGTACTGGTGATAAAAAAAAGAAAAGCGTGAAGTGGTCCCTGTCTTTATCAAACTTACCTCCTTCTAGGAGGGTATAACATGTGTATGAATAAGTAAATACAAGACAGGTTGAGGTGGGAAAGAAGGGGGGAAATGAGCATTTGCTAAGCACTGTACTAAACACTTTCCAAATATTATTTTATTTGATCCTAACAACCTTTGAGGTAGATACTGTTATCATTCCCGTTTTTACAGTTGAGATATCTGAGGCAAACACACATTACGTGCCTTGCCCAGAGTCACAGAATTAATGTCTGAGGCAGATTTGAACTCTGGTCTTCTGGAGTCCAGTACCAGTGTGGCTGTGCAGTGCTGCCACACAGTTGCCTAATTCTAGGGTAGTGAGCTGGACTTAGCAAAGCCCTAACAACTAGGAGGATTAGGGAAGGGCTTTCTGTAGGAGGTGGAACCTGAGGGATTCTGAGAAAAACAGGTTAGAGGGAGGATTCCAGGCTCTTGAGACGACCTGTTCCAAGCAAGAAGATGGAATGTCAAGTTCAGAGATTGGCTGGAACATAGGGTACTTATAGGCAAGTAATACGAAATGAGTCTGGAAAGGTAGTTGAGAGCCAGATTGTGGAGGGCTTTCAGTGGTAGGCTGGGAAGTTTGTATTTTGACCTAGGAGCAGTAGGCCAGCCACTGAAAATAGAAATAGAGGACTGACATAGAGCTACGTTTTAGAATTGTCAATTGGACGTTTGTGTAGAGGAAAGCTGGATAGCTGGGTCTGATTGCAGGAAAATTACTATGGAGACATCTTTGTAGACCAGGTAAGAGGCAAAGGATGTTGGCACTGCAAAGTAAAGGCTATGGAGAGAGAAGGGAGAAGCTATAGAACATTCTGTGGGATAAACTTGAAAGGATGTGACAGTGATTTGGGCAGGAGAAAAGAGTCACTGAGAATAGCAGGAAAAAGACTTCAGAATTTCTCAGGTCATAGCCCTGGGTCCCTGAAAGGACAGTGGAGCCATCAACAAAAATAGGTTTTGAAGTAGGGTGGGATCAGAGAAGGAATGTGAGTTAGGGACAGCTTGGGGTCCAGGTAGATGCAGTCCATGGACAGTTGGTGTTGAGGCCTGGAGTTGAGGGGATGATGAGGACTGAAGATAGTGAGTCACAGTGGGCGGGCGGGTATAGACATAGTGTGTACGTATATGTGGATAGGAAGCTTCTGGGGAGTTCAAGCTATATAAGAAAATCGTAAGACAGCATCAAGTTGCCTTTGATGAAATTAGGTCACCTGAACCAGATGAACTATTTCCTCTTTTTCTGGAGGAAAACCCACAGCTGGCTTTTGCAACCGCTCAGTCACTGTCAGCAAGTTTTGAAAGACCATGGAAAACAAGAGAGCTGCCACCGAAGTGGAGACGGGAAATAGTGCTGACTGTTTCAAAAAAGGAAAGAGAACTAAGTGCAAATTACAGGACAGTGGACTTGACGTTAATTCCTGGGAAAATCCTAGATGTGGTCCTTGAGAGAAAAGGTTAGAGCTAGAAAAAGAAGGCGTGATTACAGAAAGTACGTACGTCTTGGTGAAGAGCAGATCGTGCTCGACGTGATTTATTTAAGCAGGGTTACTAAACTAGTGCATCAGCAGGTCAGACTCTCGACTTCAGTAAAGCATCTGATGTAGTGTCTCATTATTGTGGAAGAGACAGAGAAATGAGGGCTAGACGATAACACAGTTAGATGGAGTCAGAATCAGTTGAATGGTTTGACTCAAAGAATCGTGATTATTGAAAGAATGAAAGTACGGAAGCAATCTCCTGGAGCAGATAGGATAGAATGGGTTCAAGAATACATGTAGAGAGGCTTGCCGTGTCTCCTGTGAGGAGATGGCCCTTCTCGTTACCAAGACTTAAGGAAGAGAGAGTGAGAGAAGACATCTGAGTGTGTGAGATGAGGGAGAGAGAGCAGAGCTTGTGCTGAATGTCCTCAGTTTTTTCAGTGAGTGTCCTGAGGGGTCGGTCAGTGGATGACAGCTCCCAAGACCTTGAAGAAGTGATAAATATGGACAGAATGAACCTCAAAGAAGAAGTTACTGACTTGATAGAGGGAGAGGGAGAGTTTGGAAATGGCAGTGGGGAACAAGGAGCATTCCGCACTAGTGATATGAGTGAAAGTCCAACCAGTGCTGGAAAGGGTGACCAGGGAGGTTGCGTCATCAGGAGGGAGCCAGGTCCCAGTGAATGCCAGAAGATAAAGAGGTGGGGGAGTTTTAAGATAAAAATGAGCTTTTTGTCAGAGAGCACAGAACAAAGCAGAAGTGGGTAGCTCTAGAGTGGAACACGGTGAGGGGAAGGAGCAGAGGAGACAGAATGGAAGTCTGCATTAAAGGAAGCATTGCATCCAGAGATAAGAATGTGATACAGTCAGTCCCCAGTGTACTCTGCCATGGCAGAGCTCATCTGGAATATTATGTTCAGGTCTATGCGCCACAGTTTAAGGATATTGGTTAGATTGAAAGCATCCATACCACATGAGGATCAGTTGAAGGAATCGGGTGTTTAACACGGCGAAGAGAAGACCCAGATGAGACATGATAGCCGTGTTCAAGTATTTCAAGGGCCGTAGTGTAGAAGAGGCGTGAGACTCATTCCGTTTCGCCCTGGGGGCCACAGATTAATAGCCAGAAGTTAGAAGGACGCCAGGTTGGGCTGGATGTCAGGGAAAACTTAACAATTAGAGTCTTCCGAAAAAGCACGTGCTGCCTGTAGAAGTCATGAGTTTCCCATAACTGGGAGTCTTCAAACAGAGGCTGAATGGCCATTTGTTGGATATTTTGTGTAAGGAATTTTTGAGCAAGAATGGTTTGGACTAAATGACCACTGAGGTCCCTTCCAGCTCTGAGATTCTGTGAACTTGAAAGAGCTGATGAGTTCACCAAGAAAGTAAGTAGAGAGAGAGGATGGGAGCCTCACGACCTGACTTTGAGGGGCACCAACAACCAGTGGCCATGAAATGGAAGATTCGATAGCCCCCCAAAAAAGGTAAATGGAGTAGAGTGTGGGCATAAGTAGGAAGAGGCCATGGGTGTTACAGAAGGGGAGAGTGGAGAGGTGGAGAGGTTGGCCAGCAGCATCAGATGCTACAGAAAGACCAGGCAGGACGAGGCCAGAGAGAATGCACAGAGCCAGTCATTTGAAATTGTTGGCAATCTTAGTTTCAATTAAGTGTTGAGTCTTGGAGATACATAGCGTTTGAGAAGCAAATAGGAGGTGATACCATGAAGACAAATAACTATGTTTATGGACAGGAGTTTGACTACAACAGGCAGAAGAGAATGAGGAGGTTTGAATGGATAGGAGAAGGGTTAAATGAAGAGTTGGTTTTTTTGTGTTTCTTTTTTACTATTTAAAGAATGGGAGACCTGAGCACATTAGGCAGGAGCCAGGGAAGAAGCCTCTGGAAAATGCAGTATTGGTTTAGATTCTTAAAATCTAGCCAATAGCTCACTAATGATCAGATTCCTTAAAAGTCTGCCCAGTATGGCAGATGTTGTAATAAACCTTGTCTTTGGCTGGGGAAAAAAAAAAAAGAAAATGCAGTATTAAAGATTAGAAAGAGCCAGCAAGTGATAGGGGTAGCCTTAGATTCAGGAAGACGTAGGTTCAAATCCACCGTACATTTCTGTGTGTCCATGGGCAAGGTACTTAACCTCCCTGAGCTTCAGTTTTCTCATCTATAAAAGAGGGGATACAAACTCTAGGGTCTGTTTCATAAACCTGCTTTTTGGTTTTTGTTTTTGGTCTAGACCTGTGGTTCTTATCTTTGTATTGAGCTCCATGGTATAGAAATTCCTTCCTGTGATACAGAACACAACTTGTCTAAAACCCGTCATCTTAGAGTGTTGCCTGAAGTACCTAGAGATGGAACAACTTGCCCAAAGTTGGGCAGTTAGTGTGTGTTAGAGGCAGAAGGGGCACTGTGAGGCTGGCTCTCCACTCACCACTGCACCAGGCTGCCTTTCCAGAGGCATATTGGGAGATTCAGATGAGCTACTATGTGCAGAGTGCTGTGAAAACAAACTTTAGCATTCCATATGAATGTACCACGTGTGATGGTTTGGAATAGGGTGAGATTGGGGGCAGTATGGGGTGAGGGTGAGGCGGGAATGGAGGTAGGCGTTAGCAGGAGAGGGGCCACTTCTGCAGAATCTGGAGCAAAGGAGGAGAGTCTTACTCCCCAATATAAAATGCTTATATTTCTGTAATCGAATACATCCAATTAATATACTATCTATATTGTAGTGCGTGGATAGATAGACACCCTCCTTATACCGTGTAGGATGTGTACACACACACGCATGCACACGCAGTACTTGTCATCACATTCTGTTTTCAAAATGGCCTTGCTGTCTTCAGAGGCTTCCTGGGCAGATTTTTTTAAACTAGCAACCGCTTCCCCTTAAATACCATAATTATTTGGCTAATTCTTTCCTGGTCCTGGTAGGCTCCATCCTCATTCTTTTTGGCAATTTTTTTAAAATACACTTACACTGTGATAATTAACAGCTGAAGGAAAGGAATGGCTGAACATGTCTTATGTTTTATCTAAATCTTGCAAGTAAAATGTATTGTAAATATTTTTTTCTCTTCTTACTTTACAGCTTGTAGAAGCTGGGATGATTCTTGACTCTGAACATTTTAACTATCTTATTAAGCTCTTGTATCAAGTACAGGCTTCCAAACAAGAAATAAATGCTGTTTTAGAAATGAAATCCAGGTGAGAAAGTTGTTCATATTAAAATACCAAAGATGTTTTTTATTTCAGGCTTGAAAATAAGTTCGGAAGTTAAGACACCAGCACAATTTTAGTTGGTCACAAGTCATTTGTTCTCTCATCCAAGTGGGCCTCATACTCAAGGCCCACCCAAGTGGCAAAGGTATAAATTAAGAAATGTCGCTTGCCTGTTGCCTCCTCTTTGTTCACCTCCCTAAAGCAAACTGTTGATCTGCGTGCCCTGAGCTGACGGTCCTTGCTGGTGGCCGTCTTGGGCACTTCTCCAACCCTCGAGGCTCTTCCTGTCCCACCTCCTTTCTTTCCCCTCAGTAGAATTTTACATACACTCGCCTTCCCGTTTTCTGTTTCCTACCACTTCATGGTTTAGGTACTTGTTACTTTTAGTCCACGTGGGTACCCAGACGTCCCCTCCAGAATTACTGTAAATCATCATCTGTCTCCTCATCCACCTCTCATCACAGTGCTGTTAAAGGTGATAGAAAAAAAAGGATTGCATATACCAAATTGAATAAAACCGTTCATTGGCATTATAACTATGCTAAGTTGAGTCTTTTCTGAATATATAAATATAAATATATAAAAATATCAATATAACAAATCCTCATGAATTCAGGAATGAAGTAAGACTTCACAGTCATTTAGTTACCCATTTAAGTGCTCAACTTCTACTGAACTCAGTGGTAATATCCCCCATCCTGAATGGCAAGATGGATTGGTTTCACAGAACGAGGTTTTCAAACTAGTAGTAAGTATGTTAACTGACATTTTACTAGTTTCAAATAACTATGTTTTCTCATAACTTGGACTTTATGGATTTAAAAAAGTGATTTCTGCCCATCTGTTCAAAAATACAAGATTGTATTGATGATACACCCTTGGAAAATTGGTTGCAAAACACATTTCTGCAAACTTAAGCATATTTTCCCACTGATTTATTTAACTAAAGAAAGAAAAATAAATCCCATTACAAACAACTTTCATGTTTCTAAGGGAGAATTCTTTCTGAGTTCTCAACAACTGACTAAAAAATGAATTTTTAGACTATAGCCTACTTGTAAGTCAGAGAACTTTTGAATATTTTCCTCATCACTATACACTAGTGATGCAGATGTCACCACCATCAGGCCATTCACACAGTCAGCCTCATTTGAGCCAGTGTGACATTTTATGCCTTCAAGAGTGACTGTCCCACACCCTCAGAGCCAAAGGAATGTGACCAACCAGATGTAAAAAGCTTTTCCCTGGAATACACAAATCAAGTTTCCATCTATGTAGCACCAAGTCATAGAGAGAGATACTGATGAGCAGCCCCATCCTTACCCAGAGACTCCTTTGTGAAATATTTTTAGTTAACAAGCATTTTTACTTTCTCCCTCCTGCCTTCCCCTTGTTGAGAAAAGAAAAACGGGAAAACAAAACCCACGTGACCTTCACAGTCAAGCAAAACAAATTCCCCCATTGGCCGTATCCAAAAATAGACATCTTGCACCCCTCACCTTTCTGTCAGGCAGCTTCCCCATAACTTTCTAATCTGCTGTAGTCCTTAACCACTGCAGACCCTTCCTCCTTCCTCCTTCCTCCCATAGCTGAAAACCATACTAATTTTGAGGATTCAGTTTTACATCAGGAAATCGTAGTTATTAATCACCTTAAAATGGTGACTTCCTATCTTTTTGGCATTAATATCCTTTTATTTTTTCCCTGCAACATTTTTGCAGGCCATTCTATATCAACGAGTGCTGTGGTATGTGTTATAATGAATTTTATTTTGAAATTTCCTGATAACTGTGAAAAATATTTCTCGAAATACTTGGGTCTGGAAATTACTGATTTGATAACTGATTGTTTTTTAGAGGTTGGAAACTTGGTAGTATCCTGAAATGTGTCTATTTAAGGTGAAACACATAGGAACTTTTTAAAATAGTCACCTTTGTGGCCAGGATATTTAGTAACTCTTATTAGTGAATATAAAAGTAATTAACCTTTTTCCATTGTTAAAGGTTACGGGTGAGACACTTTAAAAAGAACTGGCTCTCTGACTTAAATTCAGCAACAACTGAAATAGAGGTGAGTAACCTGTAGATTTAGGATTTTTGCTTGTTTTTAGACCGATTGCTTATTCTCTACACATACAGTGAAAATCCAAAGAAAAAATTCAATTATATCTATAAGTTAAAATTTTTGGAGAGGAGAGAATAGTCAGATTTTTAGCAAACCAAGATTGAATAACTGATTTGGAACATACTTCCACTTTCAACGCTAATTTCTGTATCTTGTAGGTTTTTTAAACTTGAGAAAATAAAATTCATTTTAACTAGAAAATATATTCTATTAAAGAGAATAGTCAGTGGGCAGTTTTAAGCTTCAGGATCTACATTTTTTTCATTCTGATGACCTAGCAATTGACTTAGTTGTAGTGTACGTAAGCCGAGTTGGTGTTACTTACACAGTTGTGATTTGATCACAGTCACATACCATCTAATGTGATTCTGTGAAAATGGAACATTAAATGAAACATTACACATTATAATTGTTCCAGGAAACAATATTATAAACATTTTAAATGGAGGATCAACTGAACAATGTCAAAATGGGGGTTTTGTTGTTCAGTTATTTAAATCATGACTCACACTTTGATGCCATTTGGAGTTTTCTTGGCAAAGATACTGGAATAGTTTGCCATTTCCTTCTCTAGCTTATTTTACAGATGAAGAAACTGAGGCAAACCAGGGTTAAGTGACTTTGCCCTGGGTCACAGAGCTAGCAAGTGTCTAAGGCTGGATTTGAACTCAAGTCTTCTTGACTCCAGGCCTGGCACTCTGTTCACTGTGCCTCCTAGCTGCTCTGAAGTAGGAGTTTATGACATAACAAATATGTGGCCAGCATTTTTAGGGCATGCTTGTATCACTAGGTAGAAGTATCTTGGCTCAGATCTTTAAAGTATGTTACACAGGAATTTTGACTTAGTACATTTTTCAGTGTGGAATTTATAGCAAACTAATATTTTATCATTAAGTATTCAGTCATTTTTCAGTCATTTCTGACTCTTCATGACCGCATTTGAGGTTTTTTTGGCAAAGATACTGGAGTAGTTCGCCATGTACTTCTTCAGTTCATTTGTAGATGAGGAAACTGAGGAAAACAGGGTTGTGACTTGCCCCGGTCATACAGCTAATAAGTGTCTGAGGTTCAGTTTGAACTCTTGAAGAGGAGTCTCCCTGACTCCAGGCCTGGCACTCTATCCACTGAGCCACCTCGCTGCTCCATCATTAAGTATACTCTTCTCTTGGGGCAGCTAGGTGGCGCAGTGGATAGAGCGCCAGCCTTGAAGTCAAGAGTACCCTGAGTTCAAATCCGGCCTCAGACCAAACACTTGACACTTACTAGCTGTGTGACCCTAGGCAAGTCACTTAACCCCAATTGCCTAAAAAAAAAGTATACTCTTTTAAAAAAAAAATTACCTTTAAGGATGAAATAAATACAGTAGGTGTTTTTAAAGAAGAATATATCATTAAATAGAAGCTTCTCTTAAAACACCTACTGTATTTACTTCATCCTTAAAGGTCATTTTTATGTCTTCAGGTGACTTTTTTCCCCCATGTTAATGTAAACTCTAGTTATGTAATAGAAATTAGTTGAAAAAAATGATTGTTTGCAGAAATGTGTTTTGCAACCAGTTTTCCAAGGGTGTATCATCAATACAATCTTGTATTTTTTAACAAATGGGCAGAAACCACCTTTTGTAAATTCATAAAGTCCAAGTTATAGGAAAACATAGTTATTTGAAACTAATAAAATGTCAACAGTTTACATACTTACAGCTACTCTGAAAACCTAGTTCTGTGAAACCCATCCCATCTTGCCCTTCAGGAGGGGGCATGCCATCAGTAGAAGTTGAACTACTTAAATGTGTAATAACTAAAATAATTAAATGATGGTGAATTCTTACTCCATTCCTGAATTCGTAAGGATTTATTATATTCAGAAAAGAGAGGTGTACCTTAACTTAGCATAGAGTTGTAATGCCGGTTAAAGGTTTTATTCGATTTGGTATATGTAATCATTCTTTTCTATCATCTTGAACAGCATTGTAAAGAAAAAGGTGACTGGACCAGTTTGGGAAATTTGTACATTAATGTAAAAATGGGTTGTGAAAAATTTGCAGATCTTCAGAGATTTTCAGCATACATTGCTGAAGCATTAACAAAAGATTACAAAGAAGAAAGACAAGGAGTTCCTTTTTGTGAATTTGCTGATGCAGGTAAAAGTTATTATTGTGGAACTATTTTATTGAGAACTAGGTAATCCAAAGGTTGACTCTACATTTGGGCGTGACCAGAGGAGAGCTGGTGGGACTCTTTCTGTTCGGTAAAGTAAGAAGGAAGCAGGCTTGACACAGCCTGCTCCTGCCTGCGTATTTTGCTTCTTTGAATGACACATACTAACTACAAATGGATTTTATAAACTAAATGACATGAATAATAGCATTCAAATCCAAGATTCTGGAGTTCTAATCTCCATTGTTTCATAAGCTTTTATTTTTTCTTTTCATTTGAAGTAACAACAGTGGTGCTAGTGATTTGGAAAAAGCATCCCAAGTTTTTTTAAGTTCTTGCCATTGAGAGCAAATCTCAGAGTCTCTTCCTAATTTAATTCCCCAGTAACTGGAGTAAAATTTGAGGTCTCACCTAATTTTAAGTTATTTGCGATCATATATTAATTGACTATGAAATATTAAAATGTTGGTGTCCAAATATTTTAATTTACCATTTTAAAATAATTTGTACAGGTTAAAGTTGCTATTTCATATTATGTTACATTATAACTATTTACTTTTCAGTTAGCAAAGATCCCCAAAACAGCGAGATTGATAAAATTTTGCTGGGAAGAATTGGCATCAGTGCAATCTACTTTTATCACAGACTACTACAATGGTCTAAGGTATTTACAAGGATTATTTTGTTTTGGGAATGAAATGTGTCAGTTTTAAATTTTTGGATAATAGTTTCCATGCCCAAACTCAATACTTTCTATGGGAGATAAAAATGGTGTCCAGGAAGATGGCGGATGAGTTGGAGAAGACCAGGGATATAGACAGGCCTGAAAAACAGTGCCCTAAATTGTATCTATTTTAAGGGGCAGCGAGGTGGCGCAGTGGAAGGAGCACCAGCCCTGAAGTCAGGAGGACCTGAGTTCAAATGTGTCCTCAGCCCAACCACTTGACACTTACTAGCTGTGTGACCCTGGGCAAGTCACTTAACCCCAGTTGCCTAACAAACAAACAAACAAACAAACAAACAAACAAATAAATAAATAAATCGTTATCTATTTTAAATACCCTTCTGTTCAATTCTAGAATCTTAACCCCAAGTATGGGGACAGATAAGTTTTATAAAGTCATTTTTATAATATCACCTTTCTTGTGAGGTAATGCCAAAGATAGTTGGGCTTGGTCCAAGTGACTGGAGGATAGTTGTATTTTTCCCTAAAACCTACCCAACACATACCTTGGTGTTAGAGATTGGCTTCTAGGATCAAAACAGAAAGCCTTCTTTCAGTGTGGTGCTTAACCTGGTAATTCTGCATATTATAATGCCAGTCTCCTTAAATCCTTAGGAAGGGCAAGCCTGCCCTTTGGGATAAAAAGACCCTCAACAGTCATTTCATTGAAGTGGGAGCCATAGAATACAGAGCAGGGAGGGGAAACCTCAAGAGAAAGTAGGAAAGATGGCGACCTTCCCTAGGCCAGGTGCTTCAATGTCTTGTATCACTGCCCTCACCATTAAGGCTATTTTGTACTCTGTAAATTGCCATGTGCTATGATAAACCTGAGTTCAAATTCTACCTCAGATGCTTAGTAGTTATGAGACCCAGGGCAAATCACTTAGACTCTCTTTTCTTATCTGTAAAATGGGAAGATTAGCCCCTCCCTTACAAGATTATTGTGAGGCCCAAAAGAGACAATACAGGTAGAGCACTCTACAGATCTTATAGCAGGTAGAAACGCCACCTGTTAATTGTTATTAAACATATACGTAGTCACATTTCTCTCATAAGAAATAAAACCAATGTTTAACAAATGTAGCATATTCATGAGGTTACTCTGGGATTGTTTAAGTTCACACTGATTGCCTTTTAGGGCTAAAATCCTGACTACTTCAAATCCAGGCACATTTTAATAGTTTAAGAACCTCTTTATGGAGAATATTTTAATATAACTTTTTTGTAATAGTACTATTTTAATAGGACTGTATGGTTAAATTCCTTGTTTATTTATCTTGATATTTGATTGTTGATTAAGGTACATCCCCGTTTCCTGGCTTTTTTCAAGTCCCAGCTAAAAATCCTGCATTCTACAGAAAGGCTTTTCCTTTCCCCCTCCGTTCTAGCCCCGTCCCTGCTGATTTATTGCAGTTTGTTCTGTATTTAGTGTGTTGTCTTCCCCTTTAGACCGTGAGCCCCTCAAGGGCAGGGACTGCCTTAGGTTTCTTTGTACCCTCAATGTGCTCTAATTACCTTTGGTGATTGGTGTTGCAGTTAGCCAGTTGAGTACAGTCTGGAGGTCAGTCCTCTGTGGTGATCCTGGCTTTCCATGGATAACTTACTCTGTGCTGTAGTTTTTAGGGATTTCTGTGTAGCCACAAGTGTTCTGTGTCCCTCATATTGACCCCCCACCATCTTTGAGATCCCTTCATAAGAGCTGGTAATATAGTAAATAACTTTTTAGAATTTATATGCCTCCATACTAGAAGGAAATTTTTTAAATGGCTCAATTTGGCAATACTCGTGATCCTCTGCTGAGGAAAATACCAGTATACAGATTTTTGTTGTTGTTGTTATCTAGACTAAAAGAAAAGGATGATCAGTAGTAAATAAGAAACACAGATAATCTAAAAGTGTAATTTGGGCTGTCGTTCTCTTCTGGTAGACCTGTATCTGAACTGATAAGAAAAGGTAAATTTTTGTAACACTTAGTTATTTTGGCTTTTTTATTATTTGAGTAGCTCAATCTACCCTTTGACCGAATAACCAGTTATTATTGAAATGCCTTAAAGGTTAAAAAAAAAAAAGAAGTAAAGTTAAAGATAGTAAGGTCCTAGATAATTCACAAATTAAGTAATTTTACCAGTGATAAATGAGTAACTATTACTGTAAATACCTATAGTGAATTTGTTTTCTGTGTTTTCGCTACAGGGAAGGAAGGTACTTGATAAACTGCATGAACTACAAATCCATTTCACAAGATTAAAAGGACTTTCTGGCCCTGAAAAGTTAGCATCCCGGTGCCAAATTGTTAATGTGGCAGCAGAAATTTTTCTAAAAAGTGGGAGTATGGATGGTGCCATTTGGGTACTGAGGGGTAAGTTATGCTTATATACTTCAAGTATAAAGGAATAGAGATTGTACTCCAATTGAATGGCAGTAATGCTGATCTGCTTATTGTTCCTTGAGTAGCAGGGCAAATGACAAGATGCAGCAGTGGCCTAGGCCCTGGTGGTTGGTGAAAGGCTGCATGGGATGGTCTGGGGCCTCCAGGTTTAGAAGGCTGAGGCTAAGATTGACCCTGAATTGAATGGATTCAGTTTGAACCAGTTAGTTTTATCTAAGAATGGAGATTAGATCCTCCCATGAATCAGACAAACCACACCTAATCTAAATTAGATTGATTTCAGTGATTTTCCCCTGAAGTTATAAATTACTTGTTGAAAGTGTCATCCACTTGTAGAACAATGTGGTTTGGCCCAGGGAGCCTCTAGGGTCCCTTCCTACATAACAGCAGTCCCCATTCTAGGGTTAAAGTTGGGCAGGGCTCTCTGGCCTCTGGTGAGCATCTGTGAAATCCGGGTCAGATGGCACGGCCTTCGTTGTTGTCTTTTGTTTTCAAAGAGGACCAAAACGACACCGCTGTGCCGGAGTCGGGTTTTAGTGTGTGTGACTGTGGCTGATCAGACCAATGTTAGCTCGGAATGTTCTACCACAGGTCGGGCACAAATAGTTCGTGTGAACCTTTGGGGTGGGTTCTCTAAGTTTGTGTATCTTGCATTTCTCTCGAACTACCTCAATTCTGCTTTGCTGAGAGAGCACAGCACTTTCTCTGATGTGGGCACACCACGCTGAGCGGTGCTGGGCCAGTGTCTCCCATGTCACACAATCACTTCCAGAGTTCTTAAAAGAGATCTTGAGAGTGTTCTTGTATTGCTTCTTCTGACCACCATGTGAGCACTTGCCTTGTGTGAGTTCTCCCCTAAAATAGTCTCTTTTTGGCATGGTACGTTTTGAATTGCACTCTCTGAAGTGGAGTTTGAATGCTTGGCAGTTTAGCTCGAGAAAGGACCTCAGAGTCTGGTATCTTACCCGGCCAGGTGATCTTCAGAGTCTTTCTAAGGCAATTCAAATGGAAGCGATTCAGTTTCCTGGCATGGTGCCCGTAGACTGTCCAGGTTTCACAGATAATATGACGAAGCAGGTGTGCAGCAGACAGACACCAGAGGGTATTTTAGAGACACCACTGAGAAGTGCCAAGGCAGAGAGAGCACGAGGTGAGGATTAATACTTCACAGTGAGTGGAAACCAAGACCCAAGGAAGACAGCACACCACCGGAGGTAGGAATGCATGCTGGAGATGTAGAAGCTGGGACAAGGACAGTCTCTCACTGTTAGCTAAGTGGCCAAGTAGCCAGATGTACCAGGAGAAAGCCAGGAACGGAACTTAATTCAGCATCTGCTTCACTGGAAAGCCTCTTTGATAGCAGACCCTTTCGTGCTGGTCCCAGGAGCGTACGTTTGAAGATGGAAGGATCTTAAAGGCACAGTGATGCCATTTGTTGAGAGCTACATACCTGTTTCTCAGATGATCACAGAATCACAGGGCGGGGGAGCTGTAAGGGACCTCAGTGGCCGTGTAGTCTGACCCATATGTGAAAAGAGCCCTCCCTGTAATATGCCCGAGTGATTGTGCAGCCTCTCCTGCACTAGTAGAGACCACAGAGGCTTACACTTGGGAGGTTAATTTCAGCCTTCCACTGCTGTATGTAAAGCCATAGCCAGAGTTCTGCTGATTCTTTCCATAATATTTCAGGAATAGATGCTTTTCTTTCATTTCTAAATGGCCGTAGACCCTCGTCACCTCCTGCTCACTGTGTGACAACATCCTCCTGATCAGCTTCTTTGCTGCCAGTCTTTCTCTGGCTCTTCCCGCAGTCAGTCACTAAAAGCTTATTAAGCACCTACTGTGTACCAGACACTGCAGAGTCAGGTCTGGAAAGATAACAGGTGGTCTCTGCCCTTGAGGAGCCCTCACAACCTAATGGTGAGATAGCATGGCTGAATAAGCTATAGACAGGCTATATTGGAAGTCATCAGCAGAGGGAAAGCACTAGAATGAAGGGGGATTGGGAAAGGCTGCCCATAGAAGGGGTCATTTTAGGTGGGGCTGGAAGGAAGCCGGGAGATGTTGATGAGGAAGAAGAGCATTCCAGCCAGAGGGAATGCCTGAGTTGGGAGATGGAGTATCTTGTTCTGGGAACAGCAAGTAAGCCAGTGTCACAGGATTGCAGAATAGTTGGTGAGGGGTGGGGGTGTAAGAGAACTGGAAAGAGAAGGAGAGAGTGGGTTATGAAGGGCTTGAAATGCCAGAGGAATTTGTATGGGATCATAGAGGTGACAGAAAAGCTGCTGGAGTTTACTTGGAGGACAGGGAGGTGATATGGTCAGATTTGCCCTTAAGGAAGGTCTGTTTACCAGTTAAGTGAAAAATGGACTGAGGCAGGCAGACCCCCCCACCCCCAGCAGTCTGTCGCAGTGGTCCAGGCTTGAGGATGTGAGGGCCTGTACTAGAAGGGTAGCAGTGTCAGAGGAGAAGAGGTTATGAAGACAGATGTCATTAAGGTAAAATCAATAGGTCTTGGCAACAGATTGGACAAGGCGTGGTGCCCTTGACACTAGTAGGGAGGTTTGGAAGGGGACAGGGAATGGGAGGAAAGAAAATGAGTTCCATTTTAGACCTGTTGGGTTTCAGATGTCTGCAGGACATCCAGTTGTCCCATGGGCAGTTGGAGATGCAGAGACTGGAGGTGAGGAAAGAGGTTAGGATTGGATAAGTAGATTTGAGAATTATTAGCATATGAGTGAAGTGAGCAGAACCAAGAGGACTTTGTACACAATACAGCCACGTCATGCGATGACTAATATTGTTAAACTGAACCCTTCTCAGCACTGCAAGGATCTGAGACATCTCCAGAGGCCTCATGATAGAAAATGCTGTCCGCATCCAAAAAAAGAACTATGGAAGTTGAATCACTATCACTTATTTTTACCTTCTGTTGAGTTTTGTTTCATCTTTCTGATGGTTCTTCCTATTGGTTTTAATTTTTACTTCACTAATGTGAAAATATGTTTAATAGGAATGTAAATGTAAAGCCTGTATGAGATTGTGTGCTGTCTGGGGGAGGGTGGGGAGGAGAAAGGGGGAGAAAAATTTTCAACTCAAAAGCATATGGAAGTGATCGTTGATAAATCAAAAGAAATTAATAAATTTTTTTAAAAAGAGAAAATTATTAGCATAGAGATAATAATCGAATCCATGAGAGCTGATGAGATCGCCAAGTAAAACAATATAGGAGAAGAGATGAGGGCCCAGAACAGTCCTGTGGAATGACCAGGATGAAGATCCAGCAAAGAAGACTGAAGAGTGGTGAGACAGATAGGAGAAGCAGCAGAGAATAGTGACCTGAACACCTAGAAAGAATATAATTTCAAGGAGAAGAAGGTGATTGGTGGTGTCGAAGGATACAGAGAGGTCAAGGATGAAGATTAAGAAAAGACCCTTGGATTCTGCAAATAACAGATTGTTAGTTAACTTTGGATAAAGCAGTTTGGGTTGAATGATGAGCCTGGAAACCAGAATGCAGAGACATAAGAAGAAAGAGAATGAGAGGAGAGAAAGTGGAGGCATTTATTGTACATGGCCTTCTCAAGAAGTTTAGCCACAAGGGGCAGCTAGGTGGCGCAGTGGATGGAATACCAGCCCTGAAGTCCAGAGGACCTGAGTTCAAATGCGGCCTCAGACTGAACGCTTGACCCTTACTAGCTGTGTGACCCTGGGCAAGTCATTTAACCCCAATTGCCTAAAAAAAAAAAAAAGAAAGAAATTTAGCCACAAAAGGCAAGAGAGATATGGGGCAATAGTGGAGATGGCTGCATCAAGTGAGAGTTTTTTTTAAGGGTGAGGGAAATATGAGCATGGGTGTAGGTAGGGAGACATTGAAGGTAAGTGAGAGAGTAAGGGTGATAGAGGAGGCAATATGTTGGAGAAGCCTGGAGTAGAATGGGACCACTTGTGCATTTAGAGGGGTTTGCCTTGGCAAAGAGGGCTGCCTCTTCATGTGAGATAGGGGTGAAGGAGGAAACAGTGGCACAAGGCCTCTGGGTGATGGGAGGTCAGGAAGAGGGGAGAAAAGGGACCTCTCAGCAAATGGCCTCCTTTTTTCCCCCCAATACAGCGTGAGGCCAGGTTGTTGACTAAGAGGGTCGGGGAAGGTTTGAGGAGGGATGAAAAGGTTTCAAAGAGTCTCTGTGGTGAATGAGTTAATGAGGAAGGTGTAAAAGGTTGCCTTGCTGTGTTGGAAGCCTGGTTGAGGTTATGTAGCATAAATTTGTAGTGAACACAGTCAAGACATTCACATGATTTTCTCCACCATCATCATTCAGTAGCGCAAGCCTAGGAGCAAAAGCAGCAGATGGCGAGAGTGATCCGAGGCTGAAGCTTATCAAGGCAAGATAGGTGATATGATGGGTGGCAAGGGACTGAAGAGAACAGCATAAAGTTGAAGTGGATTACCAAGGGATCAAGATGGAGGAAGAAGGACAGTGGAGCTAACACAAGGGTGGTAGCCTGGGAGAACACTGAAGAGTCAAGGGATCGGAGGTCACGATGTGGACAAAAAACAGGGTTTGGGATTGGAAGGCAGGGTGAGGAGATGGTATGACAAGACTGATTGAATAAAGGAATTTCAGAGTTCATGAATGTGGAAGTGGCAAGATCAAAGTCATGTCCATGTTTACGCGTGGCTCAAATAGAGCGGAAGAAATAAGTAAGTTGAGGAACTGTGAGGTTAGGGTGTTAGAGGGAGTATCAGTATGTATGTTGAAATCCCCTAAAATAAAGGCAGGAGTCAAGAAGGAGAGAGCCAGGTACTGAACTCATTGAGGAAAGGAGAGTGTCCTGGAGGGCAGAAGATGAGAGCTGCCAGAATTTTGATTGTGATAGATGGGGGATTGAGTGAGGTTCCTGAGGTATAGTGGAAGAGGGAGAGCCTGGAAGTGGAGATGGGAGCCCGGGCTAGAAAGGTGACCAAGGAAGCTGTGTTATCAGGAGAGAGCCAGAAGATGGAAGGAGTGGTAGAGGGAAAGATTTAGGACAAAGCAACTTTGGCACTCGTACCGCAGGTATTCCAGAACGCACAGGAGAGGGAGGTGGCTTTGGACTGGAACATGGCAGGGGATGGTGAAGGGAATGAGAACGAAAGATGGGGAAGTGTGTAGTTTTCACGAAGACCACTCAGGGTTCAGAATCCCTAGGATGGTGAGGGCTTGACCAGGGGAAGGTGTGTTAATCCTGTATACAAATACCTTGTAAAAGTCCATCTCCCACACTTCTCCTTAGATCTCATTCCTCAAGAACCAGTATAACTGTCAGGTGCTCATCCTGTCAAACCTATCAGACTTTGAAATGAAAGCTCATTTCCAAGTACCACTCTGCTCCCTTTGTGCTGACTCAGGATTCAACAGCCCACCAGCATAGATACACAGCTGTGTCCGGGATGTGTGACTCCATCAGGATAGAGAGCACCTGGCTTGGGAAGTCCTTCTACCAGCTGGCAAACTGGTACTCAATTCTGGCAAGTGGCCTGAGACACACAAAGGTGAAAGGACTTGCCTCTCTTCCAAATTTCCCTATTTGTGGTTAGGGCACCAGCTCTTTCTGTGCCTCCTCAGGTTTGTAACCTCAGCTCTTGACTATCCCTCACACAACTCACAAAGATCAGAGGCTGGTTTTGAACCCAGCCCTTCCTGATGTCAGGACCATTCCTTTATTTTACCACATCACACAATCTCTTCCAGTATACGTATCACTAATTAAAATGTTTTACTTGTCATTCTTTGCCATCTAGATTAGCTCTGTGTGTGTGTGTGTGTGTGTGTGTGTGTGCGCACACACACACATACTCACACACCCTACCTTTGAGCCAGTCCACATGCATTTACATGAAGATCCAAATCAAAAATTTTCTTTAGGATACGACTGACCACACCTACTCTGATTGTTCCTCAGCATTGTGGACAAATAGTTTACATAGGATTTTAATTACACATTCTTTCATTTGATCCTTCCAGCAGCTCTGTGGGGCATAACTAAGGTTCAGAGGTTGTGACTTGACCACCTTTTACAATAACTAGTTATTGGCAAAATTGGGGTATCAAAGCCAGATACTTTGAGTCGAATATTCTTCCTTCTCTGCCAAGTTGTATGCATGTATGTATGTCTAAATACATAGCTGTATTGCCATGTGGTTGTTATCTATCAGTATAGACTTGCATGTTTTCTCTCTTGTTAGTCTGTGATTTCTTGGAGGAAACGCACACCTCCATTTGTGCCCCCCATTCCCTGTAATTGTTAGAAAAAATATCCAAATGAATGAACTCACAGTTGTGTTTTGACATTCGTGTTATTTCAAGTCCTAATAAACATTTTTATTTTTGCCATAGGAATGTGATGCTAAGAATTTATATTGTTTGATATCAGTGAAAAGCTATAGACTTTTTAATGAAAAAATATATATATTTAGAATAGTGATCACTACTTATAGTACTGCTATAGGAATTGTTTCTTAATGATTTAAGCCCCTTTTGATTAAGCACCAATTAAAATTTTGCCATTTTCCTCAAGAAGGAATTTATAAAATGTTTGCAAAAATTGTTAGACTGTGGATAATTGAATCTTAATAGCCTTAATTTGCATGGATGAGATATTCATAATTAAATACTTTTTTCTTTATTTAAGAATCAGAATGGATAATAAATACACCACTGTGGCCATGTGACAGGATGGATGTCCTCAACAGACATAACCTGCTCTGTACAATTGCACATGAGATCTTGGCCAAGAGCCTTTACCGGAAGACATTTGAAGTTCTCCAGAACTTACCGGGTTTCCAAAATTCTCAAGGTATGTTTTGGAAAAATCCATGTCTATTATCTCCTCTTTAGATCTGTTCTTACATGAGAGTAATTCTTAAACTCCAGCATGGTTTCTCCATCTGTCTCACCTTTCATTGTGTCCCTTCGCTTTATTCAGCAATTAAGTGGTCCCTTTTTTTTATAAATTAAATCATGCCTTCATACTTATATTAAAATTTCAGATATGTTTATCTTTATTTTAAATTGGTCTTCATTCATCAGTAGCTTCTAATACTAGCTTCATTTTCAGCTTTCCTCTTTCCTAGCCACTCTATCAAGTAGTGACTCTATAAATAGAATGTTTAAATATCCTAGGATTTGATATTTAAAGAAACATTTTTATAAATTGAACAAGCCTGCAGCATCAGCAATTATCCCCAATGTCTGTTATGTAAAAAATTTAAATGCAGTCTTAAAGTTGGGCATACGTCTGAATATTTAAGGGTGATAATGCTGATTTTAGGTTATGTGGTTAGTTACACTATTTTTTCAGTATTACTAATGCTTTAAATTTTGAAAGTTTAATCAGTTGTAACAAAGTGGGTTAGAACTTATAAAAGTGGGTTAGAAATTATAAAAGTGAGTTAGAACTTATAAAAGTGGAGGAAACCAGAGCATAAAAAGAATTGAGATACTTATTTTTCACCTGTCTTCAGATCCCTCCCTCATTTTCAGAGCAGAAAGTAGCCCTTTCATGTATGTCCTTAAACCCTTTCCTTCTGTCTCCTCCAGGAACCCACTGATCAGTCCCACTTCCTTTCTTCTCTTGAGTTCCTTCCCCATCTGTCTGGCTGCAGAAATTCTCAAGCCTCACATGTCCGTGAAGACGTCCTTCTCTTGACCCTGCTGTCTCTAAGCTTTCTTCATCTTTCCTGTCTCTTCTCTTAGCTGCCTCCTCTTCCTCATTAGCCAGTCAGTCGCTCCTCCTCCTCCTTTACATTATGGCTTCTGAGCCCCACACTGCGTTGACCATACTTTCTTCCAAGGTCTCCTTCTACCTTCTCTTTTCCAAATTCAGTGAAGTTGGCTCATGTCTAGAGCCTCTCCATAAAAGCCAAAGGGCTCTCAGCTGTCCTTCGAGTACCTAGGCTTGCAAAAAGCCCTTTCCACAGAAGATTTGCCCCTGAGCCCATAAATGGTCAAAACAGCCCCCCTTGTTGGATGAGCCCTTTGTAGCCCTCCAGACTCGTGGTTCTTCCTTGGAGGCTTTTCTCAAGGTTGCTGGAGATCGCATTCTCCCAGTCCTTAAGAGTATCCATAGTACCAGGAAAAAGGGAAGACATAGATCCAGTCCTCAAGTACTGGTGAAAAAAGGACCTGGGTTTGAATCCTGATCCTGCCACTTACTACCTATGTGACCTTCAGCAAGTCCCTTGGCCTCTCTGGGCCTCAGTTTCCTCCTTTGTAAAATGAGGGGATTGGATTTGATGTCCCCGAAAGGTCCCTTCCAGCTCTAACCGCTGCTCTCTCTGATGGTGATGTGGTTCCCTGGAGTCCCTCCATAGAGAAGCTTCCTTCTAAAGAACTAAGCTCTGTGTGTCTTATTTCCAGCTTATCTCTGACCTCCCAACTGTTTCTGTCTTCCCAGTGAGTCTCCAGCTTTCTCTTTGAACTCCAGCCCCAAAGATACGGAGCTCAGATATGCGATTAGATTTAAATCATTAGTCAGTCATCTTCAGTGTAATGTCCTTTGGGCTCCCAAGACCAGACAGTTCACACCTTATGAAAAAAGTAACCTTATGAAGGAAATTCTACACCTTGTTAAGGACCAGGGGCATGGGGAAGAGGCCGGGGAATGTGGCATCAGTGCCCAAAAGAAGGGCTCGTCAGTGGGATAACAAGGCCCCACCATTGACACAGAAAATAATTATGGTACAGTCTGAGTGCTAGGACCATACAACCTACAGAAATTAAGGTGACATCCCTGTGGCCTAAAGGAGCATCGAATGCTTGGAGGGGTGGGAATGTGGGTAGGATTTGAGGGGTGATCATGGTTATCCATGGGAGAGAAGTTTGAGAACTACTAAATCAGACAAGTTCAGTATATGTAATATCCTTTCTTCATTTCAGAAACCGTGGAGGTCTCGCAGTACAGCCTTCTTTTTAACAAGCTTCTAGATGCTTGTGTAGAGAGTAACAGTCTGGGGGTGTCATGCTCCGTAGCAGAATTCATGTTTTCAAAGAACATCCCTATCGATTTTTCTTTCCTCAGAAGATTAATTACTGCTTTAGGGAGACGTTGTTTATGGCCAAAAGCCAGAGCCCATTACAAAAGTAAGTTACAATTGAAATCCATATGAATCTTAAAATCTCAGATGTATTCTTTATATATTTGATGTTTTTTAAACTATTATATTTTAAGGTACATTTGCCAGTTTTGAAATTAAATGTTTATTTTATTAAAATAAAAAGATATATAAATGCAGTTTTGAACTATATATACCATACTAGCCTAAGAAAAGATGTGTGAATTTATAGTAGAGAATTAAGTTTAAGGGACTGAACAGTCTTTTTACAGAAAATGTTTGTTGCTTCATTTTACATTAAAAAATTTTTAAATTGGCTCATATTTTAAATGTACCAGGAAGAATTACTTAAAAGAAATACATAACATACTTTTATGGAGAATGGCATTACTTTGTAATGCAAATAATTTATCCCAATGTATATTTTAGACATTAGGATTTTTATATTTGCATATATGTATATGTGTATATCTATAGATACAAAGTTTTTGTAATACTTGGCCTATAATGAATGTATTATTTAACTTTTAGGTGCTCTGTCATTGGGCTGTTACCCATCATTGGAGGGAAATTTGTACCGAAAACTTTTGCTGATTCCTTCATACCTGTCTGAGATTGAAATGCTTTTAGCTATTGAAATTTTTCTAGTATCTAATGCGAGTAGTATTCAGAGTCCTGGTGCTTCTTCACAGATACTACAAATAGTCCTGAAAAGGTTTGTAGAGCTTACTTTATATTCCACTGAAAACAGACAAGGAAGCTAATCTTTAGGCCTTTGAAAATTGGACTGGGGGGGGGGGGCAGCTACATGGTGCAGTGGATAGAGCACCCACTCTGAAGTCAGGAGGACCTGAGTTCAAATCCAGCCTCAGACCAAACACTTGACACTTACTAGCTGTGTGACCGTGGGCAAGTCACTTAACCCCAGTTGTCTTTAAAAAAAAAAATTGGACTAAGGCTACTATGTATATAATTATGTATATGTGCTGACTATGCACAAATTTTGAAGACTCTTCCACCCCCAACCCAAATCAGCCACTACCACTTCTTTTAACAGAATCATAGACTAATCAGTTCCCATCGTTTGAAGAAATTGAAATCTTTAAAACATTAAGGATCTTATCCAATTGAGTAACAGGATCACGTTGAGGATCAGAATCATGTTTAATTCCTTGTCTTCTGTTCCTTCCTATCATTGTACTTCATTGCTTCCCTTTTTGTTTTGTTTTGTTTGATTTCATTTGGTTTGGTTTTTGCTAGGCAGTGGGGTTAAGTGACTTGCCCAGGGTCACACAGCTAGTAAGTTTCAAGTGTCTGAGGCCATATTTGAACTCCTAACTCCAGAGCCGGTGCTCTCTCCACTGTACCAGCTGGCTGCCCCTGCTTCCCATTTTTTATGCCACTTCTTTCAGATCTGATTAAAATAATCTTGGGGGATTCCTAGAAAAATTGTGTTTCTCTCCCTCTCATGACCTGTGATTCATGTTTTTGGGGTTCCATCTGATTTCTCTCCAGACAATAAGATTGGCTTCTCCCAAAAGAAAAATGGTTTCTTTCATTTTCTTGCCTGTACTTGGGATTCACTGTTGTCTTAGGAGAGGCAGGCCTCGAATCTCTCAAGGCTGTCCTACTGGGCCAAAGGAAGGCTAGCCAAGAGGCCAACAGTTGTCAAGAGAAGAAAGTAATAAAATATCCTCAGCTAATAGTCATAACTTTGTGGGAGGGTGGGAACCTATTACCAAGTATGACTAGTATTCAAATTAGTGGTATAGTTATACTTGATAGGTTTGGTGTCAATCCCCTTTTTTCAGTAGGTCCAAACAGACTGGAAACTTAATATTTCACTTGTCTAGGCAACATTGCTATGACTTTTTAACTTAAATGTTCATTTAAAACTAAAAATGGTGAAAGAGTAGGTTGGAGAAAGAAGAGGCTAGAAGCAGGGTGCCAAGTTAGAAGGCTGTGGTACTAGTCACCAGTAATCTCAGAGTGGGAAGGGACTTGTGAGGCTGTCCTCTCCAACATCCACCTGGACATAATAGCCAACAAAGATTCATCCAGACTCTGCCAGGAGACCTCTCTTCAGGGGAGCCAGGTGCTTCCTTGGGTAATTAATTCTACTTTGTGATAACTATTGGAGGGGTGGGAAAATCTCCTGACAATCAAAGCTGTCTCTTTGACGACATCTGCTCATTGTTTGATGTTCACCTTCTGGGGCCAAGAGGAGTCTCTTCCATGGAGCAGTCCTTCAAGGACTTGACATGCAGTCATATCCCCTCTAAGCATTTCAAATCCCTGGTTCTGTCCATTGATCCTTATAGGACAAAACTCCAAGACCTGCTTTCTAGCTGGATCAGTGGCCTCCTGGTCTGGCCAGAGCCAAATACCATGGGATTCTCCCCTCCCTCGTCCTGAACATGCTGCCTCTCCAAATGTAGTCCAGTCAGGTAGCACTCATTGAGAATTTATGAAGCACTTACACATGCCAGGTTCTGTGTCAGCCTAAGATCACAAGTGTTTTGGCCTCCATCCCATCACATTATCTCATGGAACTTGAAGTTCACTAAAGCCTTCAGGTCTTTTTAAGACAAACTGCTGTAGGATTGGGGGTTTTTTGGGCCCAAGTGTAAGATTTACCTTTTTCCCTATTAAATTTCATTGTATTCAGTCCAGTGTTTTAGCCTGTCAAGATCTTTTGAATCCTGACTTTCATCTAGTGTGTTAGCTTGATCTTTTTTCCCCATCTTTGTGTCATCTGCAAATTTGAAATGTCGTCCAAGACATTCATGAAAATGTTAAACAGCACTGGACCGAGCACAAATCCCTGGGGACTCCACTGGAGGCTTTATTTCATGTTATGATGTGAAATGTTCATGAATACACGAATGACTGAAAGAGAGAAAGGACAGAGCTAGGGTGGTGCGTCAGTTCAAGTGGAGACAGCGGAAGAGATAGATCCAAGCAACGTGAGCAGGTAGAATTCATCTGTAAGCACCAGGAAAAGTATCATATTCATCATTGGCACAGTACAGCAAGCATTAAGATACACTTGCCAAATCTGAAGCAGTCCCAGATTTTTAACAGTGACTAATAACATTTCTATTCTGTGGGATAGTTTACAAAGCACTTTCACATTCATTGTCTCAAATGAGCATCACCTCCAGTCTGTCAAGTAGGAAGACAGCACCCTCCCCATAGTAGAGTAGATGGAACTCAAGGTTTGCTGTTGCAGAACCTGGGTTTGACCAAGCCCAGCTCTGCTATTGCCTAGTTTTCTGTGGCCTCAGCCTGTATTTTACAGATGAGGAAGTGGTTACAATGAGATGGAGTAACTTGCCCGAGGCCTCTGGACTCCCGGTCCAGTGCTTTCTCTGCTACATCCTGCATGGGAGGAAGCTGGGTGATCACACTGCTTTGGTTGTGGCATCATATGAAGGAAACAAACTTTATATTGCTTCTCGATCTTTGCGCTTGATGAAATGGTCCTTTTACAGGTGTGAAGAAGACAAAGGACGGAGTAAAGATGACTACCGAACAGCAGTGGAAAGACTAATCAGGGCTGCTCGTATATCAGACCCAAAGCTTTTCATTAAGCACATGACCGTGAATATTACTATGGAGCAGGTTTATAGTTTGGAACATTGTTCTGCCCTGAAATGGTTGAAAGAGAATATGAAATGGGCTGGGAAGATTTGGCTTTTTCCGTAATTATTAGGTTATAAAGACTTTTTTTTTTAAGTTCCAGTAATCATTGTTCAAAATGAATGGTAATAAAGACAGTTCTCACTGCGCCCAGCCTTGTTGATTTATCTGCATGGTACATTTAGCTTGCACAGTTTTGACCACTACCATACCTTTGGTCTGGACCTGTGATTTCACTGGTGTAAGGACCTCCTGGGCATGGAAAGACTCCATCTTATGAAAGAGTAGATAAGCGTTGTTACTGACCTGTGAAACTAAACTGGTTCACTTATGAACCAGTCTCTTACAGCAGTTCCCACCTTCTGCTTTTCATTGGGCTTATAATAAAACTAAGTCATTTCCCATTTATCTGGATTCCAAGCAATCTGAATACTCAAAAAACTAAGTATTTTCTGCACAACATTTTCACAAAGGTAAATAAGCTAATAACTGCCCTTTTTTGTAATTTTCAAAAAAGGCATTCAAGGTATGTGGTTGGGCTAAGTGGGGCCTCTCTCTCCTTCACCTTCTTCATTCTCCAGTGATGCCCACAGAATTTTGTAAGAATCTTAGAGCTAGAAGGAGCAGAAGAGATTATTTCACCCAACTTCATGCTTGCCGTTGAAATGTTGTTACAATATAAAGGCCGTCTGGTGCAGTGGACAGAGCATGAGATTTGGAGTCCTTGAGGCTTGGGTTCAGATAGCTCCCTGCATACCTCTGAGCTTGACTGGAAGATCTCAGAAGCTCCTTCTGTGACCCTGTGAACCCTGCGGTCATCCAAATTCTGATTTGATGCCTTCAGTGATGGTTCAAACTGCTAAGAAAGTTTTCTTATTTTAAGCCAAAGTCTCCCTCCTTTCAGAGTCTACCGACAGTCCTGTTTTCTCCTTTCCTTGATCATGAAGTGTTGTCCCTATTGCCCAGCACTTTTCCAGCAAAACGTTTCAAGTTCCTTCGGCCTCTTCTCGTGCTTTGATTCCAGATTCCTTTGGCATCTGTTTCCCTTGATACTTTGGGGTTTTGATGGTCCAGAACAGAATGTAATGTGCTGGATGGTGTCTTACTGTTGCAGAATACTGCGGTACTCTTGTTAATTCCTGTTCTGGACATTTTACTTCGATTCATTAGTTTGAGATTACATTAGCCTCTTTACAAGTGGCATCACACTCTACCCAGCTTCCAGATAAAATCACCAGGTCTTTTTCACATGAATTGCTATTGAGCCACTGCTTCCCTATCCTGTGTTTGTTGGCTAATTTTTTGGAACCTCAATTCAGGACCTTGAGTTTAAAGCTCCTAAATTCTTTATTATTAGATTTGGCTCATTTAAGTTTGCTGAGATCTTTTGGATCCAGTTTTGAAATCCATATACTGCCTTCTTCCTCAGATTCAGGTTAGCCACATATTTGATAGGTATGCCATGTGTGATGTCATGTCAAGTCAAGTGTTGGAGAAACTTCTAGAAAGGAGGAAGAATGGAAAAACTATGATCCTTTCAAAAAATAACTTAGAAACACCAAAAAGAAATATAGCCACTAGACAACTAAAACATGCACATAAATGTACTGAAGCATACTGTGCAATTCAAAATACAGTACCATAATGTGAGGGATCTAAGGGTGAATGTGGGTACTCTCCCCCACTGTGCGGGTCACGATGCACAGTCTTTGCATCCTTTCTTGTCTGTGTTCTCCCACAGGTCCTCTACACAGTCCACCTGACGTGCTGGAGTTCTGCTTCTCTTCTTTTAGCATTATGTGGATACAGACAGCTTCCTATGCCAGTCATCCACCTTCTATGTAGTATCTTTTCTAGATTTGAGATTAAATTATGTCACATTGATGTTTTATATTGAATCCTTCCACAGCTAGGCAATATACTGAAACACACTCATGTTCTAGTTACCCAGCAGATTATGATCATTTCTGCCTTACGAACTCTACTAAGGCTCTGCATGTGCCATCAGAGGACAGATATCTTTAAGAGACAGTCTGAGTAGTCCCGGCTATTGTTTACACCATAGCACTAGAAGCTTTGTGCTTAATGAGCCAAATAGTATCAGGAGCTTGGAATATTGAATCGGACTGCCGACTGTGTAAGGCGTCACTCCACTCCGAAGTTTCCCAGGTCTGAGATGGTTTGAAGTGCACTGAACGGTCCTCCCACGTTCCTCCTGTGGAAAGTATCTTTCTCTAGCATGAGTCTTCCAGCATTTAGTCAGCTGTCTCAAGTCGTTCTTCTGTTATCCCTCACCTCTTCACTTGTTTCTCATTATCCCTACCTTGTTTTAAATCAGAGGGGTGAAAAGTACCTTGTGCATCTTTCAGTCATCATCCCCAAGGACGATTCCTCTTAAAGACCTACCTCCTTTGGATTTTGACCTCAGTCTCTCTCTGCCCTGAGGTTAGGAAGCTTCTTCAATGGCTCAAGCCCTAATCCTCTGGAGCAGTCGAGTCTTTTAGAGAGGAAACAGCCAAGGCTAAATGCTAGAAACCCTGGTAGCTCCTGCTCCGACCACAACTACTAGACCATGACTGCCAGCTTCACGATCTGTTTCCCAAACTCCTTATTTCCTCCTTCTGTCCAGGTGGTTTATAGCATAATTTGATGACAGTATTGTTTTGTTTTGTTTTTATTTCCACATTAGTCATGTTGTAAGGAAGAATTAGAAGCAATAGGAAGAACCACAAGAAAGAGGAAACAAAATAGAAGGGAAAAAAAGAGCAAATAGTATGCTTCCGTCTGTATTCAAACTCCATAGTTCTTTCTCTGGATGTGGATAGCATTTTCCATTATGAGACTTTTGGAGATGTCTTAGGTCCTTGCATTGCTGAGAAAAGCTAAGTCTATCAATCGTCACACAATATGATTGTTAATGTGTACAATGTTCTCCTGGTTCTACTCATTTCACTCAGCATCAGCCCATACAAGTCTTTCCAGGTTTTTCTGAAGTCCGCCTGTTCACCATTTCTTCTAGCACAATAAATAGTATTCCGTTACATTCATATGCCACAACTTGTTCAGCCATTTGGGCAGCCCCTCAATTTCCAATTCTTTGCCACCACAGAAGGAGCTGCTATAAATATTTTTGTACACAGGCGTCCTTTTCCCGGTTTTGTGATCTCTTTGGGACATAGCCTTAGAAGTGCTATTGCTGGGTCAAAGGGTATGCACATTTTTATAGCCTTTTGGGCATAGTTCCAAATTGCTGTCCAAAAAGGTTGGTTCCTCTTCTGTTAATCTGGGCAATTTATATTTTATAAATATTCATCCATTTCCCTAAGATTATAAAATTTATTGGCATAGAGTTGGGCAAAACAGTTCCTAATTATTGTTTTAATTTCCTCTTCATTGGTGGTGGGTTCATTTTTGATACTGGTAATTTGGTTTTCTTCTTTCTTTTTTTAATTAAATTAACCAAAAGTTTCATGTTATTGGGTTTTTTTTATAAAACCTGCTCTTAGTTTTATTTATTCAATAGTTTTCTTAATTTCAGTTTTATTAATCTCTCCTTTGATTTTCAGTATTTCTAATTTGGTATTTAATTGAGGATTTTTCATTTGTTCTTTTTCTGGGGTTTTTTTAGTTGCATGCCCAATTCATTGATCTCCTCTTTTTCTGTTTCATTCATGTAAGCATTTAGAGATGTAAAACTTCCCTCAAGAACTGCTTTTGCTGCGTCCCATAAGTTTTGGCATGTTGTCTCATTGTCATTCTCTTGAACGAAGTTAATGTTTCTGTGATTTGTTGTTTGATCCATTCATTCTTTAGGATTAGATTATTTAGTTTCCAATTAATTTTTAGTCTATCTTTCCATGGCCCTTTATTACATGTAATTTTTATTGCATCTTGATCAGAAAAGGATGCATTCAATATTTCTGCCATTCTGCATTGGATCGTGAGGTTTTTATGTCCCAGTAGTTGGTCAGTTTTTGTGTAAGTGACACGTCCTGCCAAGAAAAAAGTATATTCTTTTCTATCCCCATTCAGTTTTCTCCAGAGAAATATCTAACTTTTCTGAAATTCTGTTCACCTCCTTAATTTATTTCTTGTTCATTTTGTGATTAGATTTATCTCGTTCAGAGAGGGGAAGGTTGAGGCCCCCCACTAGTATAGTTTTGCTGTCTATTTCTTCCTGTAACTCCCTGAACTTCTCTAAGAATTTGAATGCTATACCACTTGGTGCATATGTTTAGTAATGATGTTACTTCATTGTCTGTGGTTCCTTTTAGCAGGATGTAGTTTCCTTCCTTATCTCTGTTTTTGCTTTGTCTTAGATGAGGATTGCTACCCCTGCTTTTTTTTGCTTCAGCTGAAGCATAATATATTGTACTCCAGCCTTTCACCTTTACCCTTCTTGAGATACTTCTAAGCTTCAATCCAATTTGAATAGATGGGAACCAACTGATTGCGGTGGGAAGGGAAAGTCAGGAGAGGAAAGGAGTGGATGTGTATTTATAGTAGGCTTCAGCAAGAGAGTAGATGTAGCGGGAAGTTGTTGTTAGGAAAGAGGAGCCCATCAGACACCAGCTTGATAAAGCTTACAGCAGGTGAAAAGTAGGACTGAGTCTCCTATCCAAAGACTTGTATCCCAGGCAGTCCAACTCTAAGAGCAGAATTACGCTTTCTCAGTAGCAGCAGAGCAGTTTTACCCGGCAGCTAAGGAGGGTGAGCCAACAGTAGGGAAGAAATGGCTTCTGAGGTAAACAGCAGTTGCAAGGGGGTATGGGGGGTGCAAAGGACTGCTTAGATTAAGACAGAGCTGCATGGAGAGATATTCTAGCCACAACACAAAACTTCCATTCATCAATGTGCAATGTGAGTTTCTGTAATATCAGGAGGTGTTTCATGTCTCCATTGTAAGTGGAATGAGTTTGTGAGAGCTTGTTTTCAGTACTTATCTAGCCTAATAATGATCTTGCTGCTTGTTTTCCCTCAGTGTATTTTGCTAATATATTTTGACTAAGTCAGGGGTTCTTAACTTCTTGTATCATGGAGCTCTGACAACCTGGTGAAATCTATGGACCCCTTCTCAGGGTAATGTTTTTAAATGCATAAAATAAAATGCATAGGATTACAAAGGAAACCAATCATATTGAAATAGATGCAGTTAATTTTTTTTTAAGTTCACAAAACTGGAGGGTTGGAACTCTGATTTCAGTGCTTTTGCTATTTGTAGCTCCTGCCTGGTATGTGAATAGAAACTGCATTGGTTGGAGGCGCAAGTCACATGTGTTTTCATATGACATTGAATATGATTAAGATGGGGGATTATAGTTGAGTGGAAATTTTGTAGCCATATATCATATTTTTAATCTGGTCATTAAAGGGGGGAGATGAAACTAAAAAAATTTTATGAGCAAAGACAACAAAACTATCAAATTTTGCATTTGATATGATGGTTAATACTTAGAGAACCCTAGAAAATAAACTGAAAATTGAAATAACAACTTCCGAAATGCAACCATATAAGTCATTCACATTTCTACATATAACCAACAAAACCCAGCAGGAAGAGCTAGAAGTTCCATTCAAAGTAATTAGAAAGCTATAAAATATCTTGGAGGGTCGAGAGGGACTATGTGAACCTAAGTATGAAACACCTTTCAGAAATAAAGATAAGTAAATAACTGGAGAAGCAGTAATGCTCATGGGCAGGTCGGGTGAGTATTTTTAAAAGATAGCCTCAATTAATTTATGTGTCCAGTGTCGTACTAAACTCTCAAGAGGGCATTTCACAGCCCTAGAAGAGTGTTTGGGGATGGATGGGGCGTCAGTGACGCGAGGGAAGAGCAGGGGCACAGCGCTGGAAGACCTAGCCCCAAGCCCCCGCGAGAAGGGCTCCGCGACAAGCAGCGTTGCGCGGAAACGCCACGTTCGGCACAAGTGAAGTTTAGACCGGCTGTGCACACCACACACCAAGCCACGCCTTCGGACTATATAAGGGCAGGACCACGCCCAGAGGGGAGCGCTGCTAGGATACGCCCGGGCAGCCTGCTCGAGTCACGGCAGGCGAACATAAACAAATCAAGTTCCAAATCTCGCCCAGCAAGTGCTCTGGAGGGCGGGGCCGGGGGGCGCCACTGCGCAGGCGCCGAAAGGCCGGCTCTCGGACAGCCCGCACACCTAAGACCAGCCAACCAATCGGAGAAGCGAAGACAGGCCGCCCCGAGCGCGCAGGCGCAGGCGCTACTCCCCGCCCCCGCGCTCAGCCACCTGCCGCTCGCGTTCCCCCGCCCCCGCGCGCGGGACCGTGAGGCGCGTCCCCGTCTCCCCTCCCCGCGGGCTCACTCTCCCTTAAACCAGACGACGGGAGTGGGCGAAGCTCTCCCGGGACAGGCTGGTAAGGGGACCGGGCAAGGGCAGGCCGAGGGCTGCGGGCAGCACCAGGGTCCCCTACAGGGAAAGGGATGAAGGAGAAGCACACCGAGCATCCGCCAGAACCGGTGGGTGGGAAAAGACTGGCTGAGGAGGAAGGGCTACTGGGAGCAGCTTTAACGGGTCTCAGGCTGTGAGCGCCGTGGAGCAAGGCCTGGCACGGCTCAGCCAATGGGTTGCACAGCTCCCGCAAAAGCGTCCTCCTGGGCCTGACGCAGCCCGACCAATGAGCACGCGGAGGAGTGGATTCCCACGCCGACCGCTTTGTCCCTCTCGACCTGGAGCGGTCTGGGGCGGGGCCTGGTGCAGTTCAACCAATGACTGGGCGGGGCCTGGTGCAACTCAGCCAATGAAGTGTAGGGGATGTCTTATCCTCCCCGCCGCCTCGTCCTCATAGACCCTGGATGGGGCGGGGCGAGGTCTAGCACATCTCAGCCAATAGGCGCGTACGTTGGGGCCATTTCCCCGTCTCCTTACCCCCCACCCAATGCCTTGGCACCTTTTCATCCTCTCCACAAAACACTGCGGAACGGGGCGGGGCCAGGGAGTGAGGCGGGGCGCGGATCAGCCAATGGGAGCGCGGCCCGGAGGCTCCTCCCCCACCCAGTGCCCTCCTCCCGGGACCCCGAAGCTGAGCTGGGGGCGAAGGCCAAATGGACTGGCGGGGACCGTGGTCCCGCGTGGGCATCGTTACGCGTGTGAATTGGGGTCCCCGCCGTGCCGTCTCGGGGGAGGGAAGGTGTAATCGTGTGAGCCGCGCGGCTGCGGGTCCGGGCGTCCGGCCTAGGTGAGCCCCCGCCGCCGGGGGTAAGGGGTCATCACCCTGACCTTGATCATGACCCTCTCGTCCCCCCGCAGCCGGGACAGTCCCTGTGAACCTCGCCGGCCGGCCTCTGCCCCTGGACAGCCCAGGAAACTGAGGCCCCGAGGTCTCAGGGCGGCGTGGAAGCTCAGGGTCACCCCTGGCGCTTGGGGGCGGGAGGCCGTGGAGACGAGAGTGGGGGAGGGGTCCTCCGTGGTTTGCATCTCGGTGTTTCGTGCACAAGCCCCGAAACAAACGGGAAATGCCTACGCTTCCCGCGAACTTCCACGCACAACTCCCTTATCCACGAGCAGGCTTGCACACATCGTGCTTCGGAGCCTCTCGGCCCGCTCGCCCACGAGAGTGGAAGGCCAGCTCCGTGTCACCTTTGCATTTGTAGCCTCAGTGGTCACTAAACGTTTGTCAGGAGCCGCCTGCCCTGGGCCAGCGCTGGACCGGGCTCTGGGGATGCAAGTACAAAGAATGAACCGATCCCACCCTCAGTGAGGGAGACACCGAGCACACAGTAAACTGCCCACACCACCAAGCGAACCACGGAATATAGCCAGGAGTCACACAAAGTGGTTTGGTAGGGAGAGGGGCTAAGCAAGTGAAAGGCCCCTCGAGGCCGGAGGAGAGGGCAGGGCAGGTCCAGGAGGGAGCCAGTGGAGTGCGGCAGGTGGCAGGTGGTCAGAGTCAGCAATACATTGCAGCTGGTGTAGAATGGATAGGGGGAGAGAAACTGGAGGCTGTCGCAGTAATTCAGTGAGAGGCCGGCAATGAGAGCCTGAATGAAGGTGGACAAAGAGGTGAGAGACGCCTCAGCACGGAAACAGCAAGATTGTGCCCAGAAGGAGGCCTGAATTACAAATCTGAGGTGTTAGAAAGATGGTGCAGGAAAGTGGGAGGGGATGGACCAGAGTGGGTGTTCAGAATAAGATCAGGAGTTCTGTTTGAGACTGCCAAGTTGAAGGTCTCTCTGGGACATACCGTTTGAAAGGTCCACTAGGCAGTTATGATGCAGGGCTAAAAAAAAAAACTCAGAAGTCACCTACACAGAGATGATGATCACCAAGAGGGAAAAGAGAGGAGAGCCCAGGACAGAAGCTGGGGGAGCGTTCTGGAAGTGTGGAAGATGAGGCGAGTACCCAGGAGAATGTGAACAGTGTCAGAGGCCACAGAGGTGCAGGAGGATCGGGACTGGGGATATAGAGCTCCTTGTAACTGGAGTGCTGGTCTGAAGCCAGATTAGGAAAAACTGAGTGAAGAAAAGGAGAAAAATGGAGACCACTTTTTCAAGGAGTTTGGCTGACAAGGGGAGGATGGATATGAAATAAATAACTCAAGGAGATGTATGTGTAGCAAAGTTTTTTTTTTTTTAAGGATGGAGGAGATTTGGGCATGTGTGAAGTCAGGAAGGAAGGAATCTGTTCACAAGGAGAGATTCTGAAAGTTAATATCACAGTTCTAAGTTGGGAGAGGTAAGACTAGGAAGCAGTCTGTCTGAAAAAAATCTGGATGGTCTTAGTGGACTGTAAGGTCACTGTGGGCCAAGAGTGTATTACTTGGATGGAGTCATGATCTCATCAGTTTGAGTATTCTCCCCAGGGACACGGCTCAGAGCTGCCTGTGGTGACCTTTGTCCAGGCCTTCCTATAAATAGGTAGCTACCCCTCCCCCCTCTGCTGGATGTCAGCAGAGGCCACATGGTCCATTCCTCCCTCAGGCCACATGACCAGCTAAGCTCTTCCAGGCGGGCATTTAGGGTCAGGATGCTCTCTCCTGACCTCCATTAGGCCTTTGTTCTTGCGCAATCCTTGAAAGTCATGTATTTAATGTGTTTCTGTCTGCTCATGCCCACGCACTTCTCTGGTGCCCTTTGGATGACCCATAACAGTAAACCTTCAAAGTGTTGTATTGCACGATTCATAACCCTGCAGCACCAGAGGGAAGATGTTGCTGCCGGAAAATGGGCCTTTGTTTCATGGCAATCTGTGACAGAGCGTTAGAACTTCCCTGAAAGTTCACAGAATGCCAAGCCGCATTAAAAGAGGAAGCCGGTCTAGGACGAGGGAGGTGAATGTGGTTCCATTAGTCTTGGCCTGCCAGCTGTACTTCCCTTGTGGTATGTGAAAACATTTTCATGGTTTGGTTCATCCAACTGCAAATCAGTCCCACTTGTGGCCAGATTGTTCACGCGTTAACCTTTGCCCTCTTTTCTTTTCAAATGAATGATTGTCTCACATAGAAGGGTGCTGGGGAGATCAGAGTTGAGAGTTTGGTGAAAGGTTGGGTCTCCACTTTGTGCTAGAGTGGAAGCGCCCTGAGGCCAAGGACTATGTCTTATTGTTCTTGTGTCTTCTAACATGACTGTCTATTGAATGAATAATATGACTCTACCTAGTCTGTGGAAGTATTTGGAAGTTATGAGATCAGAGGTTTATTGTTGTTCCAGAATCTTAATAAAGCGTTGGCATTAGGCTTTTCAAGAAATGTAAAAATGATAACAAGCCAAATTTGCTGTGCAAAAGAAATTAATTGAGGAACACCTTGGCACCACTGGTTACCTGAAATAAAATCTAGCGTCAGTAAGGGCAGCTAGATGGTGCAGTGGATAGACCCCAAGCCTTGGAGTCAGGAGGATCTGAGTTCAAATCCAGTCACAGACCAGACACTTGACACTTACTAGCTGTGTGATCCTGGGCCAGTCACTTAACCCCAATTGTCTCACCAAAAAGAAAAAGAAAAAAAGTCAGTGCCAGTAGAAGTAAAAGTACAGTTGGTTTTCATTTTTCTTAATAATCTTGTCTCTAGGATAAACTCCCACGTCTGGCTCTTAAAGATTCTCCCAACATTGCCATACTTTGGCTGTCTTCCCTATGCGCCCCTGTAGCTTTCTTCTCCCATTGGTGAATTTGCATGGGAACCTCCATTTCGTGGAAAGGCCCATCCCACTATCCTTTATTCCCCAGACTACCTTCTCCCTTTCCTTTTCAGTGTTATCTTATCCAGTCAAATGTAAGCTCCTTGAGGGTATGCCCAGCACTGAGCTCAGTGCCTGGCACATAGTAAGAGTATAATAAATGCATCTTGACTTGTCTTGACAACCTGACACCCCCCCTGCAGTCCCGCCAGACACGACTCCCCTTCCTGCACACACTGGGGGATGCAGCCAACCTGACTTCTCCGCTTCTCACAAATGACATTCCACCTCTGTCTCTCTTGACTGGCCCCTGTGTCTAGAAAGGACTTCCTCTTGCCCTTCTAAACTCTCCTTTCAAGATGGAGCCCAAGCATGTTCTCTTTATTCTGTGGCTATTACCTGCTGCCTCCCCTGATCAAGTAGTAGAGATGCATTACTCTTCTGTATCCTCAGGGCCCAACCTTGCTGCTTAAGGCTTTTTGATAGATTGATTGATTAATAGGATAAGAACCGATCTGTACTGGTGCCTTAAAGTGTGCAATCCTGCCTGCACTGTGGTACGCCTCTCCTTCACAGTTGTTTTTAGTCTAGACCCGGGAGGTCTTCATTGCAGACTGCCCCCGGCTCTGCAGTTACAAGCCTAGCAAGTTGTTTGGGGCACTAAAATGGTAAGTGACCACTGCAAGATCACACTGCCAATGCTGTCAGAAATAAGACTTCAACCCAAGGCTGCCCCGCCTTTCTCTCTGTTCTACCACACTGTAAACATAACACAAAACAGATTTAACAGAAAGTGCATGAGGAGATGATTACGTCCATTGTAGAACAATTCTCACTGCAACTCCTGACAATAGCTCTCTCTTTGTAGCTCAGCTCCTTGACAAGGCCATCTGTAATTGGCATCCGCTTCCTTCCTCTCACTCTCTGGCTTCTAGTTTTATCCTTCAACCCAAACTTCCATCTGTGGAATTACCAATGGGCTCTAAGAATGTTTTCTCCGTCCTCACCCTTCTTGACTCTGCAGCCTTGAACTCTGTCACCCAGGCGCTGCCCCTTGATGCTCCTCTCAAAGGTTTTGTGACATGGCTCTTGCCTGGTTCTCCTTCCATCTGTCTGACCACTCCGCAGTCTCCTTTGGGGAATCTTCACAAAGATCATGCCCATTAACCGTAGGTGTCCCACACAGTTCTGTCCTGGGCCCTCTTCTCTTCTCCTTCTATCCTATTTGACTTGGTAATTTCATTTTTGCCTGATTTTAATGACCATCTTTATGCAAATGACTCAAATCTGCTGCTTCTGCCCCAGCCTCTCAAGCATCCTCCATTCTCGTATTTCCAGCTGCCTGCTGTATATTTGGAACTGGATGTCCTGTAGACATTTAAACTCGACCTATCCAAAACTGAATCAGAGTCAGAATTGGTAAATATTTATTAAGCACCTACTATATGCTGCTCTGTCTCCCTGCCTCAAGGCTTTCCCCATTGCAGTCCATCGTCCATTCGGATGTTAAATCGATCTTCCCAGGTCTGACCTTGTCACCCCCTATTCCATAAACTCCAGTGGCTCCCTGTCATCTCTAGGACCAGTGTGTTTGGTTTTTAAAGCCTTTCACAGCCTGGCCCCTTCCTACCTTTCCAGTCCGTTTCCATCTTACTCCCTTCCGCACACTCGCTAGTCCAGTGACATCGGCCACTTGGCTACTCCATCTCCCAACCCTAGGCGTTTTCACGCTGTTCTCCATGCTTGGCATTCTCTGCCTCCTGGCTGCTCTGGCTTTCTTAAAGGCTCAGCTAAAGTCCTTCCTTCTCCAAGACACCTTTTCCAGTCATCCTAAATCTTAGTGCCTTCCTTTGGAGGTTATCTCCAGTGTGTCCTGTATGTACCTTGTTTGTCCGTAGCATGTTGGGGGCTGGCTTTTGCCTTTTTTTTGTATCGCCAGGGCTTAGCACGGTGCTTAGCATGTAGTAGGAACTTAAAAAATGCCTCTTGACTTGGTTTTTTAAAAAAGAATTCACCTAAAGATGCCTATAATAAAACTATCAGTTTTCCTGGCACCCTTAAATGTTGTTCATCCTTCATTTTCAAAGAGGACCAGTGACATCATGGGTGATGAATTGGATTTAAGTGAGGCATTTGCACAAAGTTGTCAGCCTCACTGTCTGTCCCAGAGTCACCGGTTGGGAAGACACTTAAATGGGATTTCATGAGCATGAACATGAAAGTCACATAAAGCAAGTTCTAAGTGTAACATTAATTTTGAATGGTAAGATGATTATGAATTCTAGTCTAAATAAACAAACAGGCCCCTGTAATGCATTAGATGAATTGTCAAAATCACAATATCTTTTTTATTAAATCGCCTTTGTGGAAGGTTTCAGTGTGCTTTTATCCTATTCATGAATCAAATTTCTGAGGTGGCTTTGGAGTTTTTTATTTAGGACACTTTAATATTGTCATGCTTGATGCTATAGTATTACATTCTGAGGCAATATTATTTCAAGAAAATGTTCTGCTTTCTTTGTAAAGGATTGGAAACATTCATGCAATATCAGTTTTTAATATTCTCCTCTTTCTATTCTGTTTTGATTGTTTTAGCGATTAATGGATTCCTGGACGTTGACTTGCAGCAATATATAGAAATGTTTTTCTATATGAGACCCATAAGGAGGTAAGATTGGTTGTCAGACTTGTCTTAATATTAAAACATGGTCATTATTTTAGCTAACTTACAGTTGTTTTTCAAATTTCTGAAGGTTTTTTATTATTATTATTGGGGGAAAAGTCTAATGGGAAAGCAAGGATGAAAGGCAAAAAGAAAAATGGCGTCTAAGCCTGGCCAAGTCTTTGGAAGGCCTTTTATAGGAGTTAGGAGAAAACAGACTGTTATGTAAAATACTTGGTTATGAAAAACATGCAGGGAAAAAAAGCACTTTGTTAAGCAAACATTGCTATTAATCATCTAGATAGATGACAGATTAAGTGTTTATCAAATACCATGTGCCAGGCACTTTGTTAAGTAGTAGGGATACACGGTGCAGTGGATAGAGCGCTGGGCTTTCGTGTAGGAAGACCTAAGTTCAAATCCAGCCTCAGACTCTTACTGTCTCTGTATGACCCTGGGCAAGTCCCTTAACCTAGTTTGCCCCAGTTTCCTCATCTGTAAAATGAGCTAGAGAAGGAAATGACAAACCACCCCGGTATGTTTGCCAAGAAAACCCCAAATGGGGTCGTGAAGAGTCAGGACTGAACAATAATAACAGAGGTTACAAATACAAGCCAGCTAGGCAGTTCCTTCCTTCAAGAACTCAACATCTAGTAGGGGAGACAACAAAGGGGAGCCAGAAAGCAGAAGGGGAGGCAGGGAGACGGGTTCCCCTGGCAGGGCAAGGCCATTGTCAAGGAGAAGTCCTGGGAGCAATGGGAGCACGACTGGGGTCCTTTGTGAAATGGAATCTGGACTCCAGGCTCGCCAGTCAGATGAGAGGGGCTCAGGTGGGAGCTTTCTCTGCAGTAGAAAGGCTGGTGCTGGTCAGGAGACAGGGAAGTCCCAGGAGTGAGCCAACGATGTGCCAGCGTGGCGTGAGTGTGACTGGGGCCCTTGTGAAGTGGTCTGTGTAAAGGACTCCCCATTCAGAAAAACAGGCCTTGCTGCCGTCATATTTTAACAGATGAGTTTGAAATGGAAGCCGGTATTGCCCATAGCTCTCCATTTGAAAAGTGAGATTTTTTTTTTAATAGAATGAATCGCTCAGCAAGGGTTGATTGAGCACCTATATGTGCTAAGCACTGCTTTGCCAACCATTGTCCCAGGGGGTGCAGAAATGAAAATGAAGCAGGCCTGCCATCAGGGAAAAATCCCTCCTGTTCCTACATGGCAGCAAGGTCATCCATTGGTGATGAAGCCATTTCTGGACTCTTGGACATCTTGTAGCAACTACTTTATATCGATTTTGATCATCTAAGGAATGGTGATACTCAAAGTCAGGGTGTGTACCTTTGTTTGTTTCCATTTTTCTCTGTCATCTGCTTACTCCAGTGACTCAGAGTGGAGTGTAGCTGTAACCATAGGCAGCTCCTCATCTTTAGGCTTTCTTCTCATTGGACGCTAATTTTGACTGTCCGTGTGATGGTGACATGGCCGTACGGATGGATGACTCAGAAGCAGCCCCTTCTTTGTGCCTGTTACAGTAAAGTCTTTTTCAGGCATGTTGTTCAGTACTTGCCACGGCCGATGCCTTTCGACCTTCTTTTTGAAGAAAGAGATGGTAGCCGGGCTTGAGGCTTGTGAGTATCTCCCGGAATTTGTCTGAACCCAAACCGTATTTTCCAGTCTGTTTTGTGGCTCTGCCCTTCCCTGTGCCAACCTTCTTATTAAGGCTCTGGGCCTCCAGGTGAACGTCAGCTCAGTCTGGAGGATCTTGTCCAGTTTGTCCTAGATTTCAGAAGGAGAACGTTCATTACTTGGACTGCTCTTAGAGGCTATATTACCTGGAAATAGTGCTTGTGTTTTAATCCTGTGTATTTGAATCATGTTGTAGACCTTTACTTTTACTCTTCTTGATGCCTCGATGGATAACAGGCCTCTTTTTGTGTACCTGTAAGGTTATGTCTAGAGAAAATCTTGCCCCCCTGGCTTCTTCACTCAAGAACACTCTCCGGAGCTGAGGCCGTAAATGCTCTGAGACCTTTCTATTTTGCAGTGCACCCAGATTTCTTTGGGCAGCATCCCAGAGAGAGGGTGAGCGTTTGTCCTTGTCCTTTCGCACCCGTGGCATTTGTTGGGTGGAAGGGTGGTAGGTTTGGGTTTGTCTGTTGGCGTGGGATCATTCTTTTGTACCTAATTGAAAGGGTATGGTAGTGAAACTTTGAAATGCCATAAGCTAATTCCCAAGTTTTACTTGTAATTACATTTTGTAGATTTTTTTTTACAAGAAAAATGGAGAATTTTAAAAATCCCTCAGATTGACGTTCCCTGAGTGCAGGTGTCCCAAAAGTCTTGGTGCAGCTAGATGCCTTCGTCAGCCTAGAACAGCACTAAGACTTTTGGGACATTCTGTAGAGTCCCTTCTTGATTATGCCAGTGGGGGCCATCATTTTTATATATTGTCAATGTGTGTTTTTTCAATATCTCAAGATGATGGGGCAGCTAGGTGGTGCAGTAGATAGCGCACCGGCCCTGGAGTCAGGAGGACCTGAGTTCAAATCCTGCCTCAGACACATAACACTTACTAGCTGTATGACTCGGGGCAAGTCACTTAATCCCAATTGCCTCACCCACCCCCCAAGGGAAAAAAACCCCAATGTCTCAAGATGTTTTCCCCTTAGTATGGCACAGTGCAGAGAGGTCTGAGTTCAAGTCCCAGTCTAGACCCTGGGCATGCCTCCTACCTCCTCTAAGCCTTCATTTCCTTATATGCGGAAATGACCTAAGGTGGGATGAGGACCAGAGGAGAGAAGGTCTAGAAGTGCTTTAAAACGTTCTTTATTCTCCCAAGGCCAGGAGAGGAGCACAACCAGTCAGACCGAGACTGACTTCCTTGCTTGTCTTTAAGAGAATAAAGCGTCTCAAATGTGCTGCAAGTCCCTTTAAAACTAAGAATCTTCACTTTGCCCTTGCTGTGCATGTAACTGAGCTGCGTACTGTTAGAAGAGCCAGCCTGGGGATGACTTGATCCTTAACATACCCTGTTTGGCTTGGCTCACTGACTGGCTGAGATCTGTGAAGAAAAGGCCACGTGCTCCAGCAGGTCTCGGGCACCTGTGATGGCAGAGGACCGGGTACACGTGGTGTATTTCTGGGTCTATTTGCTGCCGTGGCCATGCTGCCAACCCCCAACTCAGAACATTACACTGAAACTCGGGGAGACACGTAAAAGGAGCAGAAGTCACTAGTTTTAGTAAACTCCTAGAATCATTTTCAGATTTTAGGACCCGAGTACATAGATTGTAAATTTTTAAATATTATTTAAGCCCTCAGATAGTGTTGACACATAGCATGAATACAGTTCTCATAGTGTTTCCTGTCATATATGTGACTACTTCTTTTCTCCCCCAGGAAGTCAATGAAAATTCTCTTAAGAAGTTAAGTGCCTACTTGGAAAACCTCCAGAAACCGGGCTTCAAGTCTTTGAAACCAACTCAGCTTACTTTTTATGTGAGAGAGACTGAACAGACGTCCTCGGATGGCCATGAGTCACTGAACGCGCTAGGTGCCTTGTCTGTTTGTATGATGCTTCTGACGAGTTTCACCCACATTGTACAGAGTAGTCATAAATGTGGAGGGAAGAGTCTTTGAAAGGAGCCTCTGTCCTAGGAAAGCAGGGTGGGTCATTGACCTCAACGGCCACTAGCTTTGGAATCCCGAGAGCGGGATTCTCTGCTCACTTTAGAGATGGCTTTGAGCAAGCCCATATCTGTCTGTTAGACCACGTTCTCCACATACTTGAAGGGTTTTGAGGTAAATGAAAGAATATTTTATATTTTCTGTAATACAGGACAGCTTTCCTTTTGTGTCTTGTATGCAAGATATCAGCTATGTTGATGTTTAAAGATGGGTCAGGGATAGGGACAGAGGAACCTGATTCGTACTTTACTTCTCTTATAGCCAGAGTAGGAAAGAAAACTGATGTGGCCAGGCTGTCATTGCTTCCACTGCTCCAGCCCTGGCCCGGCCCAGGTAGGTCAGGGTTTCCCCACAGGAGAGGTCAACGTTTTTAAAAGAACACGTATTTTTGCGCACCAGGTTTCTTTTAAGAAAAGAGCTATGTAAGGGGCAGCTAGGTGACGCAGGGGATAGAGCACTAGCCCTGGAGTCAGGAGGACCTGAGTTCAAATCCAGCCTCAGACACATAACACTTACGAGCTGGGTGACTCTAAGCAAGTCACTTAATCCCAATTGCCACACCAAAAAAAAAAAAGAAAAGAAAAGAAAGAAATTTCATGTTTTAAAAAAAGTGCTGTGTAAATTAATGGAGGGTGACAGATTAATTGGACTTTTCATAATTTTGTTAGTAATAATATTCCTAAGCCCACTTCTCTTTCAGGCAGAATTCACTGTGTATGTGGTGGCTGGGGTGGGGGCATGGGAAAGGGGTGACGTAGAAGTGTCCTGAGTAGCTGCAGGCTGATTTCTCTGGTTCCTCTACATTCTCCATTCCAGGGCCCATATCCAGGGGTCCCCTCAGGCCATGGTCTGTCCTAACTTCCCTTAATTTCCCCTCCTCAAACTCTTCAAGATAAAAACCATCACAGTCAGAGAAAGGGAACCTCATGCCTTTGGCTGGGCAAGACCCAACTCATCTTCTTCTGAATATTTCAAGGAATCTTTAAGTTAGGAGGAGTCACTAAGACCCAGAGAAGACAAAAATTGGATTTAAGTAATGGGGAGAAGAACGTCTCTGAATAGTGGTAATACCAAATGGAACCTTCAGGTGTTGTGGAACAAAGCAGCCCTAACTGCCAGAGGTAGCTCTAAAGTAGAGGGGAGAATAGAGTGCTATGTGCCCTGCCTTGACTCCCAAACCAGGGCCTGCCGTTCTTTGGTGGCGTGTTTTACTGCAGTGGTGCACGTGTTTCTTCCATAGACGTGTTCTAGAAAATAAGTTTCTGATTGATCATTTAGTAACTTTGGTCACAAGGCTTAGATCAATGACTGTGCCAAGAAGACAGTGATTGATCAAGCAGTCATACTCAGCAATCACGGTGATCATGGAACCAGCAGGCCCTGGCCCTGTGGGAAAGCAAGTATGAGGTCAAGGGGAGCACTTTCCCGCCACCCAATGAAAGCTTAGGTCTCCATGGCTCGGTGTGCCCCGAGACAATTTCCAAGAGAGAGAGCCTGGCCCTGTCCTTTAGCACTGCCAGGACTGATGGTACCACACGGCGCTGGCCCATGAGGAAGTCATTTGTGTATTCTAACTCTTAGGACAGTTTTTTTCATGACTGGGGCTATTGGTATTGACCCCAAACTTGATCCATTGAGTTGGGATTGGTAACCCTTAATTTCTAAGGTGCCACAAGCTAGCATGCTGCCCTTTAGCTATAAAGGTTTTACCAGCACTCAGTTTTGTACACCAGCAATGAAACTGAAATGAGAGGCTAAGGGGAGTACACGAGCAGGTATAATTTGGGGTGTGTGAGATGTTTTCGTTTTTTCACAAATGTTTTGCCATGAAAAATAATTTAATTTTAAAGTATTTAAGGAGAATTTTTCATTACACACTTAGATTTTATGAACTGAATGAAACACGCATGAATTTTGATTTTTTTGAATGGAAAAAGATTCCTTTTTTTTTTTTAAGCAAAGATGATATTAAACTGAACCGAATAGTAATTGTTAAGGGGTTCCCATTTTTTAGGGTTTCGGGCCGTCACTTTGACTTTGCATAGCAGAGATCTCCTGAGCACCGTCTTAGATATTCTCAACTCCTGCAGTTTATCCACTGAGCACATCCCAAGCTCCAGTGCTAATGTGGCTTCCCAACCACCCAACGGGGGAAGAAGGACATTTGACAGACCTATTAAATGGAACAAGACTTACTACTCCTTTACTGGATTCAAGGACCCTGAGGAAGAACTGGAAAAAGCCCAAAGAATGGAAACTTCTCTCATGTATGTAAATGCTTTTACTCCATTAAGCTGACACTGTAGCACATAGCTCAAATTAAAATAGCTTTTTTTTACAGAAAACTGCTAAAAATAGTCTCAAACTGATTCCTTCATCCAGCAAACAATCTTTGAGAAAATGCATAATTCAGAGCCTCGTCGGTGTCTGTCTTTCATAACTTTAGTCTTCAAATTGCAAGAATCATTTGAGGAACATTTCTGAGCCTTAATTACTTTTGAGAATTGACTTCACATGGGTCTTTTGAAAAGGTTCTTGTAACAACCTTTTTTTGTTACTTGGTATCTTGAGTAAGTCATATTAAAGTGATCTTTAAAAGCAGGAGGTCTGATAGCATCAAACATACTGTAGGCAGTACAAACCCACCAATAGATTAGCTGCTTTTCAGATTCTGTTTGCTGATCGGCTCTTTCCGGGTCCCAGCTGACCAAGAGTAATACAAAGCATACCCAAGAAGGGGACGAGACTGTTAAGGGGAGGGGAGGAAGGAGACTTCAGCATTTATTAAGCACCTACTATATGCCAGGCACCTAGTAAGCACTTTAAAGATATTCTTATTTGATTCTCACAATAGCCCTGGAAGCTAGGTGATATTTTTGTTTTGTTTTGTTTTTAGGCAATTGGGGTTAAGTGACTTGCCCAGGGTCACACAGCTAGTAAGTGTCAAAAGTGTTTGGTCTGAGGCTAGGCTACCATCTACCTGCCCTAGGACGCTAGGTGTTGTAATTATCTCCGTCTTATAATTGAGGCAGGCAGAGGTTAAGTGACTTGGCCAACATTCACTTGGCTAAGAAGTCTCAGAGGCTGAGTTGGAATCCAGTTGTCCTTAATTCCATGTTGTGTATTTCCTGTGCTTCTTACCATTCTGCCTCTTGGTTTAGATTCATAATCGTGTAAATCCACAGGCATGGCGGCCGTGAAAATCCCTGGCCCCTCCTCATGTGAACTATGGGTACACCAGCTGTCTGCTGTGGGCAGCATTGTTTCCAGCGAGTTGAGGAAGATGTGGGTCATGGTAGGTGAAGTTAGTGATGGACACTGAGTTAACTAGCAGTCAGCAGAGCTACAGAGAAGAGCGAAGGAGGGCGCGGCTGGGGGACCAGGGCATGAGCCGAGGAGGGGCCAGCGAGGCGCAAGCCCTCCCATAGGTATCCATGAGAGTAGGAACACTTTGATGGTGAGCCCAAAGGCCCATATGTCAGAATGAAAAGGGAGTCAGTCTAAAAACTAGAACAAGATTTCTGATGGAAATTGACCCAAGGTGAGATGGCCAAGAAGAAAGTTGTTGAATAACTTCAGGGATCTGCCATTTTGACCACCCAGGGTTAGAGGTTTGAACTGGAGACCAGCAGGTGACCCCAAGCACGAAGGCTAAGAATCAGCAGGCTGAGGAGGAAACATCAGAATTGTTTACTCCAACATATTGACTAAGCTGAGTAACTGTAATTTGCCCTTCTGAAGTTTGTTTTTCTCCTGAAATTCCTTACCTTGTAGTAGAATTTGTGCACAAATGGCAGGAGGAAGTCTGAGTTGCTGTGGCAGATTTGGGGTATAATGACAGTGTTTCTAGGGCTGGTGATCTCCCCAAGATTGAGGTGTGCAGAGAGTGGCAGCACCTGACGTGACCAGCACAGAATATTAAAAATCTTTTTGACGGTATCTTTGTAAATTTCCTATTTGCTGAAAAATGTTCTTGGAACAAGAAATGCAAGGCGTCCCGAAGGTCCTTAATATAAATTTATTTATATTATTTTATTTATTTATTTATTTATTATTTAGTATTATTTATTTATTATTTATATTATTTATTTTTAGTTTTCAACCTTCCCTTCCACAAGTTTTTGAGTTCCAAATTTTCACCCCATCTCCCCCCTCCCCCCACCCCAAGATGTCATGCATTCTGAATATCTCTTCCCTTACTCTGTCCTCTCTTCTATATCTCTCCCCTTCTCTTATCCCCTTCCCCTTCTATTTTCCTGTAGGGCAGGATAGCCTTCTGTACCCCATTTCCTATATTTATTTCCCAGTAGCATGTGAAAACATTTTTTTTAAACATATGTTTTTAAAACTTTAGGTTTCAAATTTTCTCTCTTCCTCCCTCCCCACCCACCCTCATTGAAAAGGCAAGCAACTCAATATAAGTTGTACATGTGCAGTTATGCAAAACACGTCCATAGTAGACATGTTGTGAAAAACTAACTCTATTTCCCTTAATCCTATCCTGCCGCCCATTTATTCTATTCTTTCTTTTGACCCTGTGTCTCCTCAGAAGTATTTACTTCTGATTAACCCCTTTCCCAATCTGCCCTCCTCTCTATCATCCCCCTGCTCTCTTGTCCCCTTTCCCCCCTATTTCCCTGTCGGGTAAGACAGATTTCCATACCCAATTGAATGTGAATTATTCCTTCCTTAAGCCAAATCCTATCAGAATAAGATTCACTCATTCATCTCTCACCTTCCCCTGTTTCCCCTCCATTGTAAGAGACTTTTCTGGGTTTTTTTTGTGAGATAATTTACCCCATTCTACCTCTCCTTTCTTCTTCTCCAAGTATAATCCTCTCTCATCCCTTAATTTTATTCTCCAGATATGACCCCTTAATCTTCAGCTCACCCTGTGCCCTCTATCTATCTATCTACATATACATACATATAATTTTTTTCCTCCAACTACCCTAACTGACAAAGGTCTCATGAGTTATAAATATCATCTTTCCATGCAGGAATGTAAACAGTTCAATCTTAATAAGTCTCTTATGATTTCTCTTTCCTGTTTACCTCTTCATGTTCCACTGAGTCCTGTATTTGAAAGTCAAATTTTCTATTCAGCTCTGGTCTTTTCATCAGGAATGCTTGAAAGTCCTCTATTTCACTGAATGACCATTTTTTCCCCTGAAGGATTATACTCAGTTTTGCTGGGTAGGTGATTCTTGGTTGTAATCCTATCTCCTTTGCTCTCCAGAATATTATGTTCCATGCCCTGCGGTCCTTTAATGTAGAAGCTGCTAAATCTTGTGTTATCCTGATTGTGTTTCCACAGTACTTGAACTGTTTCCTTCTGGCAGCTTGTAATATTTTCTCCTTGACCTGGGAACTCTGGAATTTGGCTACAATATTCCTAGGAGTTTTCCTTTGGGGATCTCTTTCAGGAGGAGATCTGTGGATTCTTTCAATTTCTATTTTGCCCTCTGGTTCTACTATATCAGGGCAGTTTTCCTTGATAATTTCTTGAAAGATGATGTCTAGGCTTTTTTTTGATCATGGCTTTCAGATAGTCCAATAATTTTTAAATTCTCTCTCCTGGATCTATTTTCCAGGTCAGTTGTTTTTCCAATGAGATATTTCACATTGTTTTCTAATTTTTCATTCTTTTGGATTTGTTCTACTGTTTCGTGATTTCTCATAAAGTCACTATCTTCCAATTGCTCTATTCTAATTTTTAAGGAAGTATTTTCTTCAGTAAGCTTTTGGACTTCCTTTTCCATCTGGCCAATTTTGCTTTTTAGGGCATTTTTCTCCTCATTGGCTTTTTGGACCTCTTTTGCCATTTGGGTTAGGCTATTTTTTAAGGTGTTATTTTCTTCAGTATTTTTTTGGGTCTCCTTTAGCATCACTCTCAGTTTTTCCTCTACTTTTCTAACTTGCTTCTCAAAATCGTTTTTGAGCTCTTCCATGGCCTGGGACCAATTCATATTTTTCTTGGAGGCTTTGGATGTAGGGGCTTTGACTTTGTTGTCTTCTTCTGGTTGTATGTTTTGGTGTTCTTTTTCACCAAAGTAAGATAATATAGTCTGACTCTTTTTGCGCTGCTTGCTCATGATCCCAGCCAACTAGTTGAGTTTTAAACTCATTGTTAAGGTACACATCTGCTTCCAATGTGGAGAATGTACCATCCCAAGCTTCGGGGTTTGTACAGCTGTTTTCAGAGATAACTTGTAGGGACCTGTAAATTTTCAGTTCTTCCGAGGTGGTATGATAAGGGGCAAGGTGTTTACTCCTTTCCTGGCCTGCGACTACAAGTGCTCCTTTCTGTCCTGTAACTGTCCTCTCCACAACCACTACAAGCTCCACCAAGCCAGCACTCCTCCTCACCCCAGCACCCTCTGCCCAGATCCAAACACGGGCAAAGCAAGAGATTCCTGCCTCAGCACTGGCAAAGAGATCCCTGCAATCCCTCTCTGATCAGCCACTGGATTCCCCCTCAGTCTGTGGGCCGGAAGCTCGGGAAGCGGCTGCCCCCCCACAGGGCCATGCTCTTGAGGAATGGAGCTGAACCCCACCTTCCTTTCTCAGGCACCGACAGAAGCAGACTTTTCCCACTGACCTTCTAATTTGTCTTTGGCATTGGTGGATTGAGGAGTCTGGAAGCCTCCACAGCTGCCCAAGATTCAGTCCTCTGAGGCCTGCTCCAGGTTTGCTGCAGCCTGCGCGCCCACACTGCAGCCTGTGCACCCACACCGCGCTGCGCTCCCAGCTCGGCACGATACACCTTTCTGATCAATCATCCAGGTTGTCTTGGTCTGGAAATTTGTTTCACTCTGTCTTTTTGTGGGTTCTGCTGCTTCAGAATTTGTTTAGAGCCATTTTTTATGAGTATTTGGAGGGGTTTGGGGGAGAGCTCAAGCGAGTCACTGCTTTCACTCCGCCATCTTGGCTCCGCCCGGTCCTAGGGTGATCTTAAGGGCCCAGGCTGCACTAAGACTTTTAGGACACCCTGTAAGTCTGACATAAAAAGGTTTTGCATGTATCTGCTTGTCTCCCCTAAACTCCTTATTTCTACTAAGGTTCCCCTTTATGTTTTAAACAAGCTCATACTTGGTAGTGGTTGTTATAGGTTCAACACATGTCATTTGGACAGGTTAAAGAAGGCACCCCTTCCCTTACACCTCCTGGATACATGACCCTGGGCAAGTCACCTCAGTCTGCGTGCTGGAGAAATCTCAGGACTTCCACTGTTAAAGGGAGTTTCCTTAGGAGAGTTGCCTGTCCA